GAATGGGGAAGGTTAGGGCCAGCAACCCTTGGGGAGTTAGGGTTAATGGGCATTTCAGTACTCAAAATGCACTGGTCATCTCTGAGGAATGTTCCTATTGCAATATGGCTACACCTGGATTGGGCAAAAGTGGTTAAAAAAACACTGGCAAAACACAGGCAAAACACAGGCACTTCGGGGAAAGCCACTGGCTAGTTAGTGGCTATATCTCACTCCTTGCTGCAGATAAGACTTAGTGATCTGTTCCGACACTAGGCACGCACTGAGACAACACTAAGCTTCATTGCTCATGTGCGTGCTTGAAATTTGAGTGGGGTCATCATGGCTAAGGAATTATGAAATGCGGGGGGGGGACAGTGCAATGCGAAGCCCTCCCCCTATCGGGTGTGCACGGAGGGAATAGAAGGCGCTTGAGACACGCACCACTGGCGGCTTGCTGGCGGCCTGCTGCTTGCTCCGCTCCATCAGCTGCCGGGCTTGCTCCTCCTGAATCTCACGGAGGGACTTGGGGGGCGGCCCACTGCCCTTCATCCTGGGGAAGAAAACAAAAAAAAGGTGAAACTGCCGGGGCTGCTTTCACAAAATGACTGAAAAACGCTTGGACTTGACAGTTTTAATGGATCGGTGGAGCATTGGAGACGAAGGTTTCACTTATTTGTGAGGTTTTACAACACTGGAGAAATTTCAATTTTTTTTTAAACAGCTCCAAGATAACTACAACATTGATTGCAGCATGTTACTTGTAGATGGATGCTGAGGTCCTACCAGGGGACCCGAATGTACACAAACCTTGGAGTGTTGAACGGTTTGCTGTAAGTGACCAACTGCCGTTTGCGAGTTAATCGCCATGCCCTTTAGCCAACCCTGTGGAATTTTGTACACTGAGTTCTGTTTGTCTCCGATCTTGGGCATCCTGTGTCCATTTTGCCTATCATGCCATTGGACAATACTTCACAGGCGATTCTAGTGCAACAGACTGATCGAGCTCGCGCTTTCTGTGGAGGGACGACCATGAACCTACCCTGGGTTTGCGCTTCCCCAGCCTGTGGGCCTGCTCTGCTGCTGCTGCTGTTGCTGCTGAGCCTGCTGCAACATCTGGGCCTGAAGCTGCCGTTGGCGTTGTTGCTAACACGAAAAGGGTTACGAAACACAAGCTTTTTTACACCCAACTCAGTTGAATACCTCTAGTAAACTGTGGCTTTACATGTCTCTTCTCTCAGCGCTAAATGCCGTGTATCCAACCCCGAGTTGAAGTGCACCCCCAAGCGGCAAAGGAAAGACAGGTGGTAGTAAGTTTTCCAAGCGGGTATCTTGCACGCATTCTGCGCGCACGCAGAGACCATTTATTCGGGGATAACTTTGTTACGCGTACCTGGCATTCTCCGCGTCAAACGCGCCATTGATCTCCATTATAAGCGCACGCCTCTGCAGTGAGTACCAAAAAATATGCCTTCTTAGAGCGGAAAATCTGGCCCACTATTTTCAAATGGGTGTACACTTGCCAGAAAAACCATGTCTGACACTTAAAATCACCTATAAACCCGATGAACAGGGGTAATTACAAGAGAGGGAATATACACCTGAGGAACAGGGGATCAAAACCAGATTAGATCTACCTGATGAACAGGGGTATTAATGAGAGTACACACACTACCGGTGCTTAGGGTAACAATGATGTCAAGTGTCTATACCTGATGAACAGGGAGACTAACATTAGACAGTAGATAGCATCCTCATACAACCAGATTCTTTATCTGACGCTGAATACAGGGGCAGGACGCCTGGAGTGGGCGTTACAGGTGAGGAGGGGGGGGATAGGGGGTGGGGAGTTAGAATCGACTTACTTCCTCCCTGTCTCGCTGTTCCTGCTGCATCTGCTGGATCTGGGTCAGTGTCGGGGTGCCAGATGTGGGGATGCTGGACGTGTTGGGCTGACCCCACATTGCTGTGCTTGGGAGCTGGTGAAAATTGGGTATTTGAAAAAAAAGGGAACTGGCAGTTAGGGTTTTTGTCAAAATGGAACGGAACTTTGTGAAATTGAAATTCCTCACCATTTAAAAAACAAACACTTTCTAAGCTTGATTTCCACTTGCCACACACTTCAGGGGCTTCTGTAAAATCGTAGATACGAGTTCTGAATGTGTGGATCCAGGCTTTTATAATCTGCGATACTCCATCCTTCTAAAGGTTCACGACCAGCGGACTGTATAGAATTCTTGAGGGGGGCAATGGTCAACTTCCCTTGCTTGCCAGCTCACACTTTCAAGCCAGAGCACAATTTTGCAAAAATAAAGATGAAAGCTTTTTTTTTTCTCCTCGTGATCCCCTCCTGCTTTCCAGAAGTTACCAACGTCCGGGAGGAGTTGACAGCGTCGGGGACGAGGTCAACGGTGTGCTTACTTTTGACTGTTGCTGCTGCTGCTGGAGTCTTCTCAAAGCGTCCTGCTGTTGCTGCTGTCGCTGCATCTCTTGTTGCCTTTGGAGGGAGGAGGGGAACGAATCATGCGTAAATGTTAGCTTCTCCTGACTTACTTACTTAGAGATTTCTTACTAAGAGATTTGATGACACAGACGTGGATTGGCGCCCACAACAAAAACTGTAATGTTTCGGAAATATGAGGGAGAGACAAAATGCGGACGTTCCCTTTCAAGGAGAGATACGACAAAGCTGCAAAATGCTTCAGCTGGTCTTGTCGGTCCACGTCAGTGGTAGAATTGAGGGATGATGGGATCTACGTTTCATGAAAATCAATGCAAATATTTGGCGCAGAGGTTGTAACAAAGACAGCACTGAAATGCTGTCCTTTTTCAGAGATATTTCACAGCTAACAAAATCACAGCTAATAGTTTTTACGTTTCCAAAAAAGGGCAAAATATGACTCATTCAACTTCCGAAGAATCCGCAATCCAACTCGTCCAAAGTCATGAAATCCCAGAAAGTCCTCAGACATCCCACATCCCCTGCCGCACCTGATCATGTCCTGGTGTCGCTGCTTGTCCGTCTCCTTCTGCTTGTCCTCCTCCCGTCTGACCCTCTCCTGCTCCTCCCGGACCCGCCTGGAGGCCTCCTCCTGTGCCCGCCGGGCCACCTCCTCTTGGGCCCGTCTCTCGGCCTCCTCTTGGGCGCGCCGGGTGGCCTCACGCCGGACCACGTCCTCCTGGACCTTCCTCGCCGCTGCCTCCTCCTGCCGGCGCAGCTCCTCCTTGCGTTGCTGCTGCTCCAGCCTCAGCTGCTCCTCCTGCTGTTTGCGTCGTCTCTCTTCTTCCTGTCTCAGCTCCTCAAGCCGCCGAATCTCTTCCTGGCGTCTGACATCTTCTTGTCTCCTGTGAAACGACAACAAATTCAACAGGTGAACATCAACAGCAGAAAAAAAATCTACAGCATTTATAACCATATCCTTCCCCTCGGAAAAAATCCCCTCCCATCTGAAGTGCAAACCTTTGTAGCCCAGCTTATCTCTGAAGCCGCCTCTCTGGCTGTCTCATCTCGGTGAACATTCAAACAATGATACCATCTCTGCTCCACCCTTCCTACTGTTGCTCCTCCATTTTACCATAATCCATCCCTCTTCCTAACACAGCCCCTCCCATTTATGATAGTCCCTCCCTCTTCCTACCAAAGCCACTCCCTCTTATTACAAAAGTGCCTCCCTCTAATTACCATAGCCCTTCCCTCTTCGCACCATAGCCCCTCCTTCCTCCTACAGGCACACCCTACCCTGCCAACCGTAACTCCGCCCTCTTTCTACCCTAACTCCTCCCTCTTCCTCCCACAGCTCCTCCCACTGTCTCACCTGAGCTCCTCCTGCCTCTTCAATTCCATCTCCTGCTGCCTCCTCATCTCCTCCTCTTGCTCTTGCTCCTGCCTCCGTCTCTCCTCCTGCTCCCTCAGGTCCTTCTGGCGTCGCTCCTCCTCCTGGCGCCGGGCCACCTCCCTCGCCTTCATCTTTTCTCTTCTCGACTGCCAAGCACGAGCAGACATAAAACAAATTCCTTTTGATGCCAGCTGCATTTTGCAAAACGACAGTTTACTTCACGCTACACAAAACCCGAAGGCAGTTCACCACTGTTGACAAATTTGAGACTCTGGTCCCACTGTGAATGTGCATTTCCTGTGTCAGAATGCCATCGCTGAAAATGAAAGTCCCGAATGCTGTCCCATCCACTGAAATACATCCGGTAAAGCACTATGGCAGCAGGTCAACACTTTCAAAATAAAAATGCGTTCTATGGTTGCTATTGCCTGATTTCCACTCTCAGCGTACTGTACAGCCGAGAATGCCGCAAAGAACATAAACCACCCGGAATGCTATATAGAAATATCCAAGCCCAATGCTGAAGTGGATCATTTCACAGGTAGGGCCTACTTTCTAAGCACTTCAAAGTACCAGCAGCTACTTTACAAATTTTTGACAAGTCTTCATGGATAGTCACAAGAACCTAATTTGAATGTGAGCTGCAAGCTCTTTATGTCACAAAGCCATTCCTCTGTGACCGTCACTGTTAGCAGTGACAGCACCCAAGGTAGCGTTCGTGACAACTGGTGAAAGGTACTAGTGAAGTACTCGACTCTTAACACAGGTTGTGCATATGCCTACCTCTTCCATTGCATCCTTTGCCATGGATGGGTGCCAAAAGCCAATGTCCCAGTCATCTTATCACAAAGAGGAAAAATGGGGTATTTGTTAAGTGAAGCGGAATTTGGCAGTACAACTTCTAAAGAAATAGACATGGTATGAACATGAAGCCAGCACCATTCCCCTTCATTTACTTCCAGCAATAATGGCCCTGTCAGGTCAACATTTCAACCAGGAATCTACTTTCTTAACAGAATAATTTCTTAGGAAGTACAGGCTGCCATTGCACTTTCCTATGCCTGAAAAGGTTCGGCTCCAATTGTTTCTCAAGGTGAAGTAAGAGCACATCTCAGGCATCGTGATTTTACAGGGTTTGGAAATGACTGGCTTGTAAGTACCAGAGATCTAGGCCAACTACCGAAATGATGACTTCTTTGGGAGGGGTACCTTTTTTGGACGGCGGTCCGCCCCAGATTGAGATGTTGTCCATCACGTTCTCTGATTTGGACGTGGGCACTGGGCTGCTCCCGGACCCACTACGGCCGCCCCCGCTGGCCCCTCCCCCGCCGCCGCCCATCATGGCATGCTGCTGCTCGCTGACCACTGCCGCGGCGGCGGCAATGTCCGACCGGGACGGGTCGCCCTGCAGTGCCATCTGCTGCAGCAGGAGCTGGTGCTGCTGCTGTAGGCTGATGAGCTGCTGGCGTAGCAGGGCCTGCTGGGCTGCCGTCAAGGACTTGCCACGGTGCAGCAGCTCCTGGTAGATGCGGCTGGCTTGCACCCTTTAGCAAAATACAGAAACTTCAAATATGCAAGTCGGTGCACAGATATAAAGTTTGGACAATTAACCCCTTCATGCCGGGAGCCGTCCACAGCCAGGGCTTTGTGTGAGGATTAGTGCATACCACACATACAGTCTATTCACCATGCAGCTGCTGGTTCAATGGGGCCTGCTGCTGGACAAAACCTTTGCATACTGGGCAATACCGCAGCCCAGCAGTCACGGTCAAAAGAATCCCGGCGTGAAGGCATTAAAGCGAAACATTAACTCTATTTGATATGAAGGCATCGTGGTAGAGTTTTTTAACAGTGTAATCATGAGTGTCCTAATCCAGTCCATCATGTGTACTCGCACAGGTCCAGAAACAAGTTCTTTCACAAGTCCTGTCACGCGTACTTTCACGAGATCAGTCACATACAACAGTGTAGCCAGTTAACAAAGGAATCCTTGGTCACCGTTCACTGAAATAGCTCATGATTCGGCTCCAGACTGGACGACAATGAGGCGAACACATGGGACTCGACTACAACACAAGATCAAGTGTTCCACTCGATGGGGGGAGGGGTCAAGTCTGCTTCCCCGCGTTGTTTCAAGATGAGGTACATTTCCAATTCCATGAGACACCCCCCCCTCTCCCCTCACCTGATGAATGCCTGCTGCTGCTGGATCAGCTGTTGGAAGACTTGGTGTTGTTGCTGCTGCTGTTGCAGGTGTTCCCTCTGCTGCTGTGTGGGAGGCGGCGGCGGCTGCTGCTGCTGCTGCTGTTGTGGCTGCTGCTGGTGTTGGGCAAAGAGCTGCGGGGGGAGACCGTGGTGCACCTGCTGTTGCTGGGGCTGGGCTGGCTGGGGTACTGGCCGGACGTCAGAGGTGATCGGTGACTGTAACTTCTTCGGCAAAAGCAACAACAGTTCAGTTAAGAATCCACGCACAGCTACGGCAAACCAGCCATGCCCACAAACCAAAAAGCGTACGAAGTTATCTTTCGAAATCACAGTTTAAAATACAGAACGGTCACTCAAGTCTAGCAGCACAGTCCTTGAATAGGTCACTCAAACAGTTTCACTCATGTACATACATGAGGTATTCTGGATTGAGAACTGTACGACACAAGAAAGGTCTACCTCCATCTTCACAAAATACGTCAGGTCTGAAATGGATGCCGATACAGTTCAACATAAAAGGGAGAAAGACTGACTCTCACTGAGAATCTTTGTCAAGGGTGGGATTGGAAAAAAAGACAAATCTTGTTTATCTAGTATTTTATTTTATTTATTTACATCTGTTCATCCAACGGCACATTTAACACCAATTCCAGGATGAAGTGACGGTTAAGAAGACAATGAAGAAACGTTCAGTTTTGGAGGTGGGAGGAACACCCCAGATAAATATTCCAGGGAAAACACCCAGAGAATAGGGGAGGGACTGAAAATACCAATCCTCGTTCTGACCTAGGTGGGATTCGACTGTGACTTTTCAGGCTTTTAACAACTAGCAAGGCATGAGTACTCCCCTATTTCATTGTGAACTTAGGACTTACGAGTTTTGGGGGGGAACAAAGTGCAAAACAATAGTAAAGCCAGTATTTTGGGGGGACAAACTTCTGAAATTGAGCCAACAAAATTCTGAGCAGGCATGACTCGTGAACAAAAGGGGGTTGTCTTACCCCCATGGGTGGGGGCTCGGGACCCTGCATGAACGGCACCCGTCCCCACCGTTTGATGACCTCGCCAAGGCATATGAAGTCCTCGTCGCAGCCCCGCTTGACCAGCAGTGTCATGGTGAAGTACCCGGCGCTGAACCAGTCGGCCATCTCGCTGGACATGAACGGACCTGCGGCACAGAACAGGGGAAATGGAAGAACAGAGAGACTGCTTAACTTCTGCTTGGTGGAAAAAAATTAGGGGGAAACTTTTTTTGGGGGGGGGGTTTTCATCTGCGGGCACTTTTTTTTTCCAAGGGGGTACGGAAACCAGAGGAACTGCAGCCTGTACATAGGTTTGTTCATTTCAATCATGGGGCATGCGGGGGGAGACGGAATTCCAAAGATCTTCCCCTACTCTTCAAGGCCCCGCCCACCAACTATGCAATACTACAAAATAAGCTGTTCGTTGAAGTCATGTTGGATTTTTAATGCTTCAGAAGTAAGGCCATGTTTGATACATGCTTTTGGAGCTATGGTTACGTCTACTGTCAGCGTGCCTTTGCGTCTTTTCAATGAAGCAACCTAGCCCTAGCCCTCGGCAACAGACTTGACTACAGCCCAAGTCCTCACGTGTCTAAACACTGTGCCCCCTTTTTTTTTTCGCTGGGACACCAAATAGGGATAAACTCCACAGTACCTTGCACGGAGCCCTGGGGGTCCTTGTAGAACCATCTGAAGGCGTGCTCGTGGGTGACGGGCAGCACTTTGTTGTCGGCCGCGCTGCTGACGCTCCCAGGCTTGGCCATGGTCACCTCTTCCTCTTCTGGGCCCTTGTCATCATCCTGCCAGACCAAAGGAAAGGAAACAAGGGGTACTTTTTCGCTGAAAGGTGAGTGTAGGTCAGCGCAATGGATCTGGTGTAAAATAAGTCAACAGCTGGCGAAGACGAGGTCTTGACTTTTAAGTCTCAGAAGGAGGTTTTACCCTGCTTTTTGGATCAGTGAGTGGAACTCAGTGATTGAAAGTTTGGAGCAGACTTGCACCTGCTCAAGTTCTTCAAGAGATGGACCGTTAATTGGTATTATTAAGAAAGCTTCTCCTACATGCACAATAGGAGAGAGGCATGGTTAATCATCAGAAATGCTTCCTTAAGCCTGGCATATGGTACTCAGTAACATATTCTGCTGACATTACTTGTGAATGGTACGCATACAAATGGAGACTAAGTACACACTAGATGTTTGTACTGACACGTCTTGAAGTACATGTTTGAGAGATCATTTTACACCACAGCCTGCTTTCACGTATTTCATATTTTCACTCTGTAGAGTTTTGGGATTCCCGCTAAACACGTTTCAGAGAAGTCACAGTACCTCCTCGATGAGTTTTGACATCAGGCTCTCTGCGTCCTTCTCCATCTGGGCTAAGCTGTCGTCTTCCTCCTCTGGTTTTGGGCTCTCTTCTGTCTTCTCTGATGAGGCCTGGGGCTCTTCTGTGGTCGGCCTTGGGTCCGCTTCCTTCCCGGCCTCCTCCAGCGCGACCTTGGCCACCTGGGCCATGACCTCGCCCACCGTGGGCACACCTGCCTGCTTTGGCTCCGCCCCTCCATCCCCGCCCTTCTTGGATTGCTTGTCGGTTGGGTTCCCTGAGTTTTGGGGGGCGGCGACGGCGGCGGGGGCGTGGTCCGGGGTCGAGGGGGGCCCGTCGCCCGCAGCGCTGGCACTGCCGATGCTGTTGCCACTGCTGCTGCTGGTCAACTTCTTGCCACTGTTGACCACATTGTCCGTCAGCTGGACCGTGATAGGGGAGGGGCCCATTGTCCGACGCTCCTCCTTGGCACTGATTTTCTTGGGCTTGGACAGTTCCAAGCTCTCAGTCTCTGCGCTCTTAGCGCTTAGCTCCGCCTTCTCTGATCTGTTCAGCTTAGGTGAGGCTTCAGGGGAGTTGTCAGTCTCCTTTGAGTCGGATGATTCTTGTTTGTCGTTACCATCTTAACAGACAACAAAAACAGTCCAGTAAACCAGAAAGTTACTCACTTTCAATACACTTGTTCGACGGTGTATGAACAATTCTGAAAAACTACTTCGGACCAAGTCCAAGGGACAAGTGAAAAAGAAAACAGATCTCTCAACTATCAGACGGCAGCTGTCATGTTTTGCAAACGGAGCAAAAGGCTTTTTTATCTTTTACCTGCGCTGGCTTTCTGTTGTTCCTTCCCTTCCTCCTTGTTGCTGGAGTCCCCGGATCCTGCATCCTTGTCTGCTTTCTGTGGGTCCAACACAAACACCAAGCAGCTTACGATGTAGGCCTAGCGGACGCTCAAGGGGTTGAACACTCTGAACTTTCTGATTATGTTTAGAACTGTTCATTTGGATCAGCCTTTGGTTCATTCCATTTTTTAAGATTTAAAGCACAACTCACTTTGTGGCATTCCGTTTGCCACATACAGTAGATGCTCTTCAAAGCATTCGTAAAGGCTTCAACCGACTATCTAGAATAATGATCTTAAATTCCCTGAACATCTTTCAATAGGGGAATAAAAACATCAACTTTGACCAATTTTTCACCTAAGCTTGCTGAGTTTGCTGAACTCTAGCCAACCGGATAAAATGACTATTTTCACGAAATCTTGTTGCATTATTCATAGTCTTGCACAAACAAATGCATTTGCATGCCTAATTTTGCATGTCATTTACATACACGAACCAGTGGACAACTTTCACTCCTTCGTCACCGACAGATTGATATTATCAGCTACCAGAGACCCATCTGTGATAGCTATTGAGATGAGCACTCACCTTTGTGGAGCAGAATGCGCCAGACGAATCGAACGTCCCGATGTCCCCGTCGAAGGGGTCGTCCATGGTCCACTCGGGCATCTCCTCCATCCCGTCCTCGTGCCAGCTGTCCTGGCGCGACCGGCCGCTGTAGCGGCGCTCCCGCATCCCCCTCTCCAAGCCCCGTCCCTGCTCCTCCCGTTCCCTCGGGTGGTTCCAGCTTGTTCTCGATAACCCTACGACATGAGAGTAGGAAGGGGGTATGCGTTACACAGCAACATTATTCACATGCCTCTCAGAACAAACCATCTGGGAAATCAAGAACTGATATAATGTGCTTCAATTCCACCTAACGTTAGTTTCCGTGATCGGACACGTGCGCTCAGAACACTTTTGCTTTTACAAAAGGGTTTTTAGCTGTTATTGCATTCCACAAGCACACACGTACGGATGCGGTGAATTCATGTCAAAGTGTTCTGAAGCGAAATGTTTCAAAACAAGACTGCCACATGACCAACACAAGACTTCCAGTCTGAAATGCGAGTCAAAGGCTTTCAAATAAGGCAAGAAAAGCATTCCTTTGTTGATTTTGACCCTGTCACTTCCAGCTGGTCACGTGTCTTTTTGTGTGGAGGTCTCCACTACATGGCCGTTCCACGACAGCAATGTCCTTACCTGTTGCACTGCGCCAATTGTCGTCCCCTTCCCGTGACAGCCTCATGGAGCGCGACCCCGCCTGCCGCCATGTCCCTCCCTCGTCTTCTTCGTCGCCCCGCGTGGACCGTTCCCGCGGCAACCGCCAGTTGTCACTGGAGCTGCCTCCCCGCTCGATGTGCTTGCGGGGCGACAGGGGTCCCCCGGCTGCGTCATCAAAGTTTCGCGAGTCCAGGCGCTTGTCAAAGCGGTGATCTTGGCTGTGAAACGAGTGAGTGCCCACAAATTTTGAAAAGAATTTTCTTTGACAAAATCACAAATTGACTTAGAAACTCGTGGATTGAAAGTTGGATTAATCCCCCTTTAAAACTTAAAGATATCTCTGGGCATGACAAGCAAGATACAGAATTTCTTCACTAATTTTCACAGCCTACAACTCTTCTTGAATGTTAAACTGGCCACACAACAAATCTCAAGGACTCCATATTGAATCCAACAGACTGAAGTTTGGAATATGCACCATAAGTGGCACGGGTGAACACCTCATTAACCCTAACCCCCAAGGGTGTATGTAAAATCATATTGAAATTGGAGGATTTGGGACTGTTAGGGTTAAGCTTTTCTTCGAATAATTGGTAAGAAAAAATTAAGTGCGTTTGACAAGCCAAGCCACAATAATCTCCACCCATTTTCATCCTTAACAACTCTTCCCAGCTGATGTAGAAACCATTGGTTGAAAAACCTCATGGACCGTTCTGTCATTTCACACTCGGCCCGTTTTCACCCACCTCTCGTCCCAGCTCATGGTACGATTGAACTCCCGCCCTCGAGGGAACCCCGAACTCTCCTCGTCGTACATTGAGACGTTACGCTGAAACTCTCCCCGCCCCCTTCCTGGTAAACCAATCAGCACACCATCGGTGCATTCATTAAAACTTCAATAAACAACACCTCTCACAAACTCGTTACATTTTGGGGGGTTAATCTCGCTCAAATCTCTAATCAAAACAGAGTGCGCTATCAAAAGGTTCGGGATGGCCATTGCTGGAATTTACACTCAAAAGAATTGCATATTTCTATCTTTCTGAATAAAAAAAGTATGCATATTTTAGACCTCAACCTAACTTCCTACGCAATGTCGCTGATGCTTCCCGACTCAAAAACCAGCACTATATGCTGTGACACCGTCGAATTCTACCCACATAAACTTGGGACATCAGGTCCTGTGTCACGTACATTCTGTCTGCTAATCGATGCAGTCACGCAACAAACTGCTGCAAAAACCAGATGTTTGGAATGTGACAAATGCCCAAAGGGAGATTTGGATTTGATAAACACCCCTGTAGGTCAAAGACGGCTCTCTCAAGTCAATGAATATTTGCGCCTGTGTCAAAGCTCTATTTTTACAGTCACGATACATATTTGAGATCTAGGAGAATGTAGGGCTGTGCCAAATATCTGAATAACTGAATATTCAACAATTGATTAAAGATACATGTTGAATATGAATATTATTTTTTGAATTTGAATATTCAAATGCAAAATTCAGGAAAAGGAAAGGAAAATTTTCTTTTGTTTTAAATGAGAAAAATTGGATTATGGAGGCTTGTTTCAAGCAAATTGAAATGAAAAGCGTTAGAAATCTAACAACGATTTAAAAAGTAAATTATTCATTAAACAATTTCAAAGAAAAATTTTTAACAGGGCAAGAAGTCTTGTTCATCTTTTCAATCTTAAATATTCGAATAGTGAATTAATCGAACTGACTCAGCCCGAGGAGAATGTAATTTTTTTTTTCAATTTAGGCAGCAAGACTAACTTTACGTGCAGGAATTGAAACTCAACATGGGCTTGAACACTTGTCAAAGAAAGATACATTTTTTGTGAAACAGGAGCCAAAATTGCGATTAAGATTCCGAACTCAAATTCATGGTAACCACTGAAAATAACTGTAAACACAAAACAAAAACAAATGATACAAAATAAGACATCTCAAAAACAATATAGGAGATGGCCTACAATCGCATTGTTCTGATCTCTGTTTTAGTAAACTTGCCCCACAATATTCTGTGCTCAATAAACATTGCCTAGATTGGCGTCTTGGTACTCACCCCGTCCCCGGCCTGTTCCCCGACCCCCTCTTATTGCTGGTCCCCCTCCTCCTCTGCCGGTCAGCCGTAGCACCACTGTACTGTTCACACACTGTGACAAACACCGCTAGGATGAGGACAGGGAGAGAGAACGTCCGAACATTCCATGTCAAACACAATCCAACTGTGGCACTGCATTATGGGACTGCATTATCAGGTCAATTTCTGCTGGTTTTTTCCTTCTGCACACGTATGCATCAAGGTTGATTTTCAGAGATTTTCATATGTGTATGGATAACAGAGCTATATGAACCCTAACCACCTAGGCCCTAATCAGAGGATACACGTTCAATCCTTCAAAATCCTCCAACTGCCCGCATGAAAAAATTGAGTACAGCCTCAATCCTCCGGAGTCCTCCGATATTTCTCTAATATATTCTGTGGACAGGTGCCCACGGCCTCAATCCTTCAAATTCCTCTGGCAATTCCTCTCATGATGTTGAGGCAGTGTGAATGGTATCCCGCAGCAGTAAGGAGGATTTTACTTATTCTGTGGGTAAGAATTTATACGTATAGATGGCTGAACGTACGTGGGGTCTAACCCACAACCTAGAGACAAAGCACCCTTCGCAATCAGCAGTGCAATTCTGCCATGCCGCCTCAATCCTCTAAAATCCTCCAAAACTGCCCAGGGGCTTTTGAAAGATTTGACATGGTAAGGGTTAAATGGCTAGTGTGCAAAGTTCTCATTCTCCGCGCGGAGAAAATTTCGCGCCGTCCCTGGGCGCAGACATTTTGAACCCATGTGCGTGCTTGTAGAACATTCGCAATCATATAGAATGAACATGGAATTACGTGCTCTAAATGCAATGCACATTGGGTATCAATAAAATCTGATTTTGCATGGTTTATGCCAAGAAAAATGAAACACTAATCTATTGATTGTGCATTTAGGTTTTTTTGCAAATAATGGCTTTGTTGACGCATCAAATTATTTTTAGAATATCAGATGCAAATATACTGGTACATATAGCCCTACAAAAATTTTGCGTTTTCCATACGTCTGTGCACAAACATGGATGCGCCTGGCAGGCATCACTTGGTACATGAGTCGGTACTCCAGTTTTTATATATGGCGCTATGGTACGGATACTGTTCATCAAGTTGTAGACCACTTCAGACGGCAAGATTGGATCTGAAGTCAATGTTTATGGCAAATCATGTCAGTGCAAAATGCAAGCAAGTGCAGAGTACAGATTCCCTGAAGAAACTTCGGACTACTCTCTACGGCAAACATATTCAATACCTTAACCAGTCAAAGAATGCTGCTGGCAATAGAAGGATTGCACTTTAAGTTTTTCAATGGTTCCTCACGATGTTAAAGGTATCATAACAGAGTACCAGCTGCAAGGCCTCTATTAACAACAAACCAAATGCTCACAAAGGCAGTGAACACAAGTGGCAGGGTACTAAGTTACTGGGTTGGGCCAAGGCTGGTGTTAAAGTGAACTACACAGTGACACATAATCCCACAGTGCATATTGATACCTTGGGCAGGGTTCTCAAATCAGCGGTATTGTATGTGGGTCAAGAACGTTGAACGGCTCACCTGTTCTTCCTCATTGAGCGGCAGCAGTGCCATGGGCGTCAGCGGCTCCTTCTTGGCGATGGAGGACGCCTCCTCCAGGCCAGCCGGCATGCGCTCGCTGCGGCGGTACAGCGCCAGCATCTCCTCACGGCCATAGCGGTGCTCGGCCAGCTTGAACTGGGTCATGGGGGTGGGGCCCGAGGAGGAAGAGGTAGTGGGCGGGCCCGTCGCCGAGGAGGAGGAGGCCATCGCGGGCCCGCCCACGCCGGGGGAGGGAGGAGGCGAAGTGAGGGCACTGCCACTGCTGCTGCTGGTGCCTGAGGACAGGTTGCGCAGCCACTGGGGGCCGAAGTTCAACGTCTCGGACATGGCGCTCGTGGGACTTGACGGACTGGGTTGCGAGAGGAAGCGGTCAGGATTGCAACGCAGACGAACTCTGACGTCCTGTCGGAGATGACCCTGCATGAATGAAAATCAAACCACAATTTTTCTTTCCCAGAGTCTGGAAGCCTAGCTCTAAGTGGCCCACATTCAGCCTTTCACCATGGGGGGTGAATAGACTATTATCCAAGTAAAATTCTCAACACAAGTTCTGGAATTTTAATGACAGTCTCTTCAATGCAGAATACTAGGCATCCTTACCGCACGGAATAAAAGTGATGCTACGAGTGAAGAAATCATCACAAACTTTTTCCAGTTTTGTTTTCAAAATGGCAATTTTTCTAGTACATCAGTGAATCTGTTTGTCCAGAACCCATCGAACTCCAACAGCACGTTTTTCTAGGTTGTTAGACTTGGTATCAAAGGCCCAGGGTGATGGTGTTGGATTTTGTGTGAGTTGGGACTCACAGGGGTCATTGTGTGCAGTGTCTGGCTTGCTGTACCAAGAGCTGAACTGTGCTTGATTTTGTCAGGTTTGGTACTGCTTCGGTGGAAGTCATCCTGTACTGCATAGACCCATCCATACACATCACTCAAACTCAAACGGGCTCATTCTGTTGGAGTTTATCAGGTTTGGTACAGTGACCTGCATGTACATGTACCAGACAAGTACATGTCTCTGTTGAAGTCTGTTGGGTTCAGTATGCTCCCAAGTGCAAGAGCCTAAGGGGTTAAGGTTAAGGCTGTGCACCTGTGGTGTATTCCCTTTCCACTGGTTTATAAAAAGCAATACCATATATGATGTTTAAGTTCATGCGGTGACAGCGACACAAGATAACTGGGCTACATATATGAAAATGATATATGAAAATGAGCCAGTGAATTCTCTTTTAGTCCCAAAAAGATTTAATTAAAAGACAACAATTTATTTAAAAGAAATAGAAGATTTAACTCAAACCCTATTGAGTGATTAACAAGAAACTAAGAAATCTGACAAATTTTGTACAAGTTAGTCAATCTGAACATTCACTGTAACCATGGAAGCTGTCAGGGGAAACTAACTGCAGATTTGAAGGTGTGCACAATTTCTTAGATTCAATGGCGTTACAAAAAGTTGACAAACCCCATCGGACCAAACACTACAAACACCTAACAAAAGAAACACAGTGCACAACCAGTGAGCATCCACTGTTGTTGCACTGTACTTCTTTTGTTAGATGTTTATAGTGAAACTCCCCCCCCCCCAAAAAAAAGTGAACATTCGGTTCACACTCCTTTGTGGTGAGGTCCAGAATTCGGCACTGTGTATATATATGGTCCACGTGCATTTTCACAAAGAGCACACGTGTGTGGGCGTCACCTCATGCTGTATGCGCACGCATGCATAACCACACTTGCACCCCCCCAACCACACTTACAATTTCTCTGTACGACACATATTTTCTCCTATTTGACTCCAGGTGAGGGTGAGCCATTTGACCTCTTATGTCACCAGAACACGGATCACCAGCATCTCCCCAAGCTCGCCCGCCTCCCCATGGAGCATCCATTCTGCTCTGTGATTTACACTCACGACAGACAGCATGAACTGAGGTCAACGGTAACCCAGCATACTGCAAAGTTCACTGTCTGTCTCCTCACAGAATCTGTGCTCCTCAAGAAATGCTGAAAACGCTGTTCGCTACACATCTCAAAAATACATTTAAACTATGGCTGTTTCAATAAAATCTCAACACATTCAATTTTTCCCATACAAAATTGCGGCACTGGGCATAACGTACCATTTGGAAGCCACAGAGAATCATCACAATCATATAGGTCTTCTGCGTGTATAGTCTCATCATGTACAACTCCTGAATATTCCCCCAAAAGAATATATCTTCCCGTATTTTGGAAGCAACAATATGCACGTGTATTCGCAGTCCAAATTGTGCCACACACACGTATGTACGTGTGCATGTATCAATACAGTAAAAGGAATTCGCTGAAACCCGTTCTACGACGAAACAATTACACTTATGTTCATGAAAAAAATAATAAAATTGGCTTGGATGTCACACTGACGTTCTTGAGTTGAAATTCAGACTGTCGCCTTTTTTCCACAGGCCTTCAAGAGGTGAATTCAAATTCAATGTCTGCTTCATGCAATTTTCAAATGGAGACAACACTTTCTATGTGTGTGCGTGTGCATATTCACGTAATGCTTGCTGGCGTCCCCGAGGAGCGTTTCATTTGGCTACGTGCCATGTTTGGGACCCAGGAGCAAAATGACGCACGTTCCATAACCTCTGAATTGCTTGTATATCATATGATGCAGACATGTGTGCCGGCGGCCCAAAATTTAACCCACAGCTTCTTGCCTGAGCAAAATTGCCCCTCTGAGCTGCACTCATCCGAGGGTCAAAGGTCAACAAACATATGGCTATCGCATAACTGATAGTATACTGATAGGCTCCAGGCCAAAGGTTTGAGTCCCGCACGCTGTCAACAAATCAATTCATGAAAACATGCCAATGGGGAGTTACATGTGAACCTAACTGAATATGGCTTGTCAGAATCTACATGTACATCTTGTGAACATACCTACATGTATGCATGCACATGTGCGCATAGCACATCTGTGACAACCCATCTACACATCAGGGGTTGAATTTCATGAAAAAGACAACTGGAGCACAGGGCCAGAGCCTCATACAAATTTACTAGACTGGGCCACACGTTCCGAGAACGACACAGTATCAAAAGTACTTATGCACCCACCGTTTGTGTACTGTCTTAAAAGCTGGACGTACCGTATGTAATGCGCATTCTTGTTTGTACATGAACCGCTATCTAAAAAAGAAGAAATAAGCTCACGGTTTCTTTAATACTTGTACATGTACTTAAATTGGTGGATGATTCCTAGATACATGTACATGTAGGTTACAAAAACACTAGACCACCAGGCTTGTACCGGTATCCATGTTGCAAGGGTATGCTAAAATCACTGGCCCCGGTCCACAAGTCCCTTGAAACATGTACATGACAAGCTAGGTGCCTGTACACTGTACCTGTACTATGCATGTTGTACTTACCAACCACTGTACACGTGTGTGTAAATGATTGCGTACACTCCCAGGGCCAACTTTTGCAATACAGCAACATATACAGAACCTGTGCCAGTGACACATGTAACTTTCCACTTACCTTACGGAATTTGCCACTGGTTTCCTGTACAATGGTGGATTTGGTGAAAATTCATGCTAAAATTGCCAACTTATGGTGGAGCATTCAAACTGAAACCCTTATGCCTGAAAGTTGACATTTTAACAACACGGCTGATACACAAAGGCTACGGCTGAGTAAAGTTCTTTTTTGGGGGAGGGGTAATTTACCTTGATAAGTTAATTACATACATGTATAGGCACATTGAAAGGAAATAAAATGCAAAATGTTGTCACACTTATGTGACAATGAGAAGTGCAGCCTTCGAAATTTTACTTGTGTCACAAATAGCCAAGAGAGGGAAAAGTTAGGATATTTTGAGAGGAAGAAAAGAGGTTTGGAATCAGCTTTGCTTTGGGTTAAATACCCAACATAACAACGCGCTGATGCTGTTGACAACGGTTGATCTATGCTGATCTATTACCAATGCTGCATGCTGCTACTAAGTTACCTGTGTGTTCATCAGTGGGACCATGGCACTGCCCATACATATAAATGTAAGTGTACATGTATGCCCACGTAGACATGTACTTTGCTTTCTCAACAATTGAAACACACTGGGAGCTCATGTACATGTACGCTGTAATGTTTCCTTCCATGGCAACAGTTATTGTTGCTATTACTGTTACTGCTGGTATACCGTTGTCTACAGACTGTTGTCCGCGATAGTAAGTCGACCAGTGTTCGCAAGAATGAAATAGCTCTGATGTCTGAAACTTCCAAAGCCTAAACGGTCAACACGGACACCTTTCCAAACCGAAAAGGAAAGAGAGACAGGCCTTTATCTTTTCCACGATGTCTGCAATTTTGACCCGTCACCGTTTGGTAGTAGACGTTACATGAATATTTGCTTACATTTTCCAGCTCGTTGAATCTACCAGTGAAGTCACCATGAAGTGTGAGATAAGCGAATGCCGTCTGAAGGAGTATGAACTCACGCAGACCTGCCTATTTTTAGCTCGTTAAACGTGGAGGTGACAAATTTCAAAGCACAAAAATGTTCCATCTTGACATCAACAATGTCACTAATTTCCTTCGCCTTTTTTTTTCACTCACTGAAGGTCAATCACCTCACAAAAGTTGAAAACCTGTGAATCTGGAACTGTAAAATACTTCCAATTTTGTCAGAATGTGCTAGGTATTTGCACACAACTAAGCAACTTCCTTCAACCTTCTCTCCTTTATTTGAAACGCATGTACTTGAATTTATTTTCTACATGCGGGGGGCGGGTATCTAGGACTTTTGCAAAATGGCAGGTAGCAACCACACCAGGTTGATGAAAACTGCGACCATGGTGATGCACGTACGCACCAGCCAGTCAGAGGACTGGGCTACACAATTTATTCTTTGATCAGTACGGAGCACACATCGCAGTTGTTTTCATCGGCACGGTGTGGTCGCTACCAGCCATTTTGCATAAGTCTCAGATGTCTGTTGCAGCATATAGAAACCTCCCACATGGTATGCTCATACTCAAGGCTAGTGGCCAATGCTACATACATGTACCAGGAAGATCTAGAAGGTTGCTCATGGTGGAAAATTACGTAAGTTACAGTGTGTGCACAGCCAACATGGCCAAATGAGTTAAAACACCTTTAACACTAAGATTTCTTCATAAATCTTAGCTTGCAGTACTCAGTACTATAAAACACTAAGTAGTAGTCTCAGCCTGAAGGACCTAGCACTACAAATTACTACTTCTGGCTAGGGCACCCTACATTGTTACTTGTACAGAGAACAATAAAGTCGTGCATTCACAGTGCCAGGGCAATGTATGGTACATTGTCTCATCTATTGTATTTTATGGCTTCAGAGAACAATACGGCCACGTCCTCTTACAAGCGACAGGACTGAATATTACATTTTTCCACTAAGTAGTACCTTGCAGTATTCAGAGCTGTTACAGGTAACATATTTTGAAAGTCATCCAACCTTAACTCCAACCGTCCCAAATGCAATGCAGGCTCACGCCAAGCAGGGTTGTAGCTAGGAATTTTTTAGTGCCGGCTGTTTTGATGAAGTCTCATCATGCCCACAGGTTTGTGCACAAGGGCATCAAGTGTTGTCTGTACTATATATGGAATTCATGCCAGAAAACACCCCATAAGATGTATCACTAAGCCTATCTGGAGGTACGATAGGATAGGAATAATGCTGGCCAAAACAGTTGTTTCTCATTCACCAGCCACATCAGGAAAGAATTAGCCTAGGCCTATTACTATTCATGATACATGTACAAGTAGGCCACGCTGCATATACACGTATATGTACATCCCAAATGCCCAATTTTAGGCCTGTTAAAATTACTTCCTTGTTTATCATCAATATTTGATATTTCCAACTTTTTTACAAATTTCCGGCCCTTTTCAATCTTGCAGATTTGTCTGTACCACAAAAATGGTCTGGTGTTTTTTAATTCTCCAGTCTTGCCCTCACTCAACCATGACCGATTGATCTCATCTGCCGTTATGATAGGCCTATATGGAACACTCAACATAAAAGTCTCAAGAAGCCTATTAAAATAATGTACAAGAAAGGCATTTTAATTTTAGATTATCTGAAAAGTCTGGAAAATACTAACTTGAAATATCAAATAATATCAAAGGTACTGGCCCAGAAAATATAACTTTGAGTGATGATAAACAAGGAATTAATTTCAACTGGCCTTGTAGATAGACCAAGCAATATGGCAATACCATGACTGCAGCAAGCCTGAGCAATGTGGTAGGAAAACTCAAAATGCTCGATCCCAAGGCAAGATCTATTTTGCAAAATCTACCCAATTTCGGTTCATATTGCCTATTTTGGAAGTATGCAAAGTGTACAAGTACATGTATGCGCAGCGCGCACATGCAATGTAAGCTAGGCCTACATGTAACAGTCTACAGAAATTGTAAGAATGACTGTGAATGCGTGACAATCATCTCCACAAGCTGTGTACAAAAAGTCAATACAAATCGCAACGCCCTCACTTCGCGTTCACTCTGGAACACAGACCTGCAGACACGACGGACCAAAATAAACCGGCATACGCAGCAGAATTACGCTATATTATCACACAACAATGTTAGCAGTAAAAGCAGGTATACCTGGATATGAACTGGCGATAACTACTTGGCTTGTACGAGTAGGATCTCTTGAAATCTCAACCTTCTTTTCGATCAAATTCGACTGCAAATTCTCAATCTCAACTTTCCGTACGTGTTCGATTCCAATATGGCTGCTCTGTATGATGTACCACGTGACCAATATTTTAATTAGCCGTTCGATGTATACAAACTTTCACATCTGACCCGTGTGGAAATTTCACACACAGCGGGATATATGTAAATTGCAACTTTGTCAAGTAAAATTTTCCAGTTTCACCGTGGTCTTGTTGCCGAGTCGTTTACATCAAACATAGAAAAAAAATCGACTTAGGGCCTGCACTTATAAAATAGACGTTGAAGTCAGCCCTCTTTCTTTCAAGATGACGTAAATTCGTGCATTGACAGAGCAACTAAATCGGCGTTTATGGCCACGCCTTTCATATGTTTGGGGGCGGGGGCGGTGGTAGATTATGACCACACCTCCTGCAGTGAAGGCAGGGAATTTCTTATTTTATTTCTTTTTTTTTTGGTGAACAGCTTTTCAACGCGACGTCAAATTTGTCACCATTTTCTTTAATTTCTCAATATATGTGCCAGATATAGGCACATATATTATAATATATATTAAGGAAATTCGGAACTAGATTGACTCTGTGCTCGTTTCAAATAAGCACAGACCATAAACTACGGTTCAAATCACAACCTGCACAAAAGGCGCATGCGCATATAGTAGGGCGAAGGAAAATATAAATTCCTTCTGACGTATCAACAACAGTCGGATATTTCAGTGCTGGCCCAACGCTGGGATGTTTGACCGTGAATGTTCATTCGATGATTTTTGTAGATGTGATAGGTCTATCGGAGTTTTAAAAATGGCAAGACTTTGCACAGCTTGGAGCCGCAAGTTCTTTTGTCTGTTGTCACAGGAAATGTGTCACAACTTCCGAGATTACAACATGCTGGAGGTGAGTACTCAAGTAGCTGATCTGGCTATCTTGGCATATGTGTGGTTTTGCATACCTTGTCGGCTTTGTTTGCGGCCTCGGGCTTCTATTTCCTGAACTTTCCACCCTCTGCGAGTCTCTCCTACCCAACGCAGTTTTGCTGTCTACGACCCATGGCAACCAATGTGGGGCAAAAGTGTAGATCTTTTTTTTCATTGGTTCCACTGAAGAATCAAAAGTTCAAACATTATTCTGGAGCTCAAAGAGAAGACGGGGCCAGAGGTAAAACTGCACCCCGGTCTACCGTCAACTGCTTACGCCTTACGGTCTATTAATTTGCAACCCGACGTAGCCGGAGGACCCAGAGCAAACTGGCCACGAGGGCTGGGGACGCGTGCGTGCGAAACTTTCCCGGTCTTTTTATGATTTGTGACAGCGCCCTCTGTCGTCAAGGTCAGTTGTGCAAAAACTGAGGGTTATTATCGGCTCCGGAGTTTACTACGTAATTTCCACGCAATGCCGTAGTTCCCGGACAAGGACCCACGTGCAACTTGGTGTCACAGGAGCGATTATTGTTACACAATTATGAATAAATTATCCATGGTCGCGACAGATTGTAAGTGCGTCACAGAGAATCAGCGCAATTTGAACTCTCCGAACGAAGTTTGCCTTTGGTCCGAGTCTTCGGCGTCATTAAGCCCACTCGGCGGAAACGGCAGACCTTCCATAACCCAACTTTAGGCTATATTTACTCGCTGACGTCTGGTAAGAGTTCGTTTCCGAAATTATCCGACCATGTGCAATTCTTCCGCACCCGGAAGTCTAGTTTACAGGAAATCACACCAAAGAAGTCTCGAAGACAGACAGTTAAAATTCTTATGCTAGTTGTCAGTGCACTTTTTACACGAGGCACCAGAGGGTCTCGTCGTGGATCAAAATCTACTTTCAAATGTGTCGTGAAGGATTTGTTTAATGTGATCACACCTGCATGGAATAAAATCCCTTGTATATTTGGCAAGCGGTATGGCTGATCACGCAGAACAATCTCCGTAAGAACGTGAGTTCAGTTTTCAAATAACTTGTAGGACTCTGATTTGAATATTTTGTTAGTGTTTTTGCGACAAAATAATTGTCATGCATGACATTTAACGATGTGGTATGAATGCAGTTATTTGTGTTTATTCGTGCATACGTTTCAATTACCCATATTGATACGGCCACGCCCTTTTCAGTGTTCAGTTTGAAAATTCGACATAATGTAGAACAAGGGAATAGCTTACCTGTGCATCACCAGGAGAGCTGTGGAAATCTTTATTACGAAATCCACCCGCGTAACTCAATAGTCCGGATTGCAGGTGCCGATGCATCTAGATTGATCGTCTGAAATCAAGTCTATACGAATCTGATCACTCACTAGAGCTCCAGTGCGACGAACACGGTACCCAGCGCGCCCGCGCACGGTTCGCACTTGGAGTATATATACATGTACAACTTATTTTCATTTGAATGTACACAAATCAGAAGGGTTTTTCGCGTAGACGCTGTGCGCATGTTGACCATAAAGTGCCGTTGGTATCTGTCAACGTTGGAAGGTGCTTGGCAGCATGTCGTTTATATAGCAGCGGTCATTGAAGCCCCCTAAGGTCGTATGCGAATTATTTGGCTGTAAAATAGGCCGCTGAATAAGGGTTGTAACCAAGTTCCCACGAGACTTGTGTGTTCATCATGGCGGCCTTGGTCATCTTGGCAGGAAGCCTGGCTTCGGACACGCACTGGAGAAACGATATGTCCTTAGGAAGACGATTAGGGTGACAGAAGTAAGAATAGTAACGAACTTGGGTCCAGAGAAAAGTGCAGATCCCCACTCATTACATCAAGGTCGAAACCATTATCGTTATGGTGGGAACGGGGATGTCAAGAAAGGAAATCACTGCATGGATAGTAATTATGGGCTTCCACAGTTGTATATTAGATCAACCCTAGCCATCAAGCCAGGTGTTTAGAGCATTATGACTGTTTTCGCAGGTCAACCTCAATTGACTTTTACTGTGAGGTACACATCATATGCATCTTCAATAGTGGCAAGTACCTAGCGAAAGGCACTGACATTTTGGAGTTGCAGACAGAGTGACGACTGGCGCATTTTTCAGTTAATATTCCGGAAAAAAGCAAGCCACACTGTGAGGGTCAGTTAAAGGCAAACCAGTGACGGGTTTGGACCAGTTGTGTGTAGCACTCGTTGAGCGGACCAGTTCGATTTCTCCGGCGTCAAAGCCTCAGCCAAGTTGCCGCTTGTCTGTTCTTCGTTTGAAACACGTGCAGCCGCGTAGCAAAAGCCACGGAATAGTGCTTTGTAAGTGTGTCTGGAATCGACATAAATTTTGGTGAATTTCCTTTTGAGAAATTCGAAAAGGTGAGAGGCAACCATCACACGGCCGTGGATCTGTTGCGAGAATTATTTTTTTTGCAGGGAGATGTCAACTAAATTTTGAGAGTGATTCCGTGAAAGGGGTATAGGTTTTTTTTATGAAGTTGAGTAAGTAGAAGTGATGAAGTGATGCAGTCAATTTGAAGTGACGGAGCGCAACTGCTTATATGAGCAAGGAGTTTAATGAGAGTCGTACAGGGCTGCCATGCAAGTATGCGTTGGGATCATGCCTGGCGGCACCTTAATGCAATGGAGCCAACATGATCCTTCGTGCTGCCGGTCCGTCACGCAGAGTCATCGTCTTGACGGTTTACTCGCCTCCCAACTCGGGCGGATTATATCATACTAAACACTTTACATGTACATGTACTTCTCGCTGCCAGCTTGACCCCGGTTGAACCCCGCCGGTAACAGGAAAATAAATAAGGTCTTGGGTGGAGATGGTTGTTGGCAGAAGTATAGCTGTTGTGGGCCAATGGTGCACTGAGCTTCATGCGATGGGCTTGTACAGTACAGGAATAGATAATCATATACCATCAGGCCCTCAGTTTTGTGCGCGTTACGACAAAAGCCTGGAAAATCTGGCGCACTGTTAGTCTCCCAGATTGGCAAGTTTGTCCCCCCCTCCCCCTACTGAACAAAATTTGCCCGGCAACATTATTATACGTTCTTTTATGCAGAATATGGACTTAGTTTGTAGTTCAGTTGCAGAATTGTACAATGGACGCCAACTCTGAGTTTGCACAGTCTTTTGATACGTTGGTTTTCGTGATCTCTGCCCGAACGCCTGTCCGCCGGGGTAGCCAACGGCGCAGAGCGACAAAGAAACCTCGAGATTGTGTCCTTAGATGTTATTCGTCGTCGTCGTTGTCGTCAACGTCGTTGTTGCTGTTTACTGTAACCATGTGCTCTAATTTTCTTCTCAAACCCTGGCTCATCTCTATCTTGATTTCGACAGGTATCTTTCCTGTGACCTCTGAGCTCTCAGGCTAGAACGGACTCGACGTGCGGTACCCGGGGGTATTTAACTAATCCCAACCCACTGACATCACAAGTTGCCTAACGCAACTTCGCTCCACGCGGCAGCGACACGACACCACAAAAAGAGAGTTCCCCGACCATCGAACGTCTGGCTAATTTTCGTCTGACTGCTGTCCCGCCCTGTTTAATAAGTTGGACCCTCCGCATTTCTGACAAGTTGTCCACGGGGCGCTCGATTATTTTTTGGAAGGTTTGTTTGGGCGAGAGGTTCGACGTCTGGGCGACGACCGCTGGCCAAGCTCACCATGGGTAAGTCATTACCGTAATGTGTAGTCCAAATAAGTCCCCGGTGTATCCTGCATGCATTATTATGATTATCTGTGAATCGATTGCATTTGCTGGCCATGTCTGTTCGGGAACCCCTTCGACATGTTTTGCTGGGAAGTGCGCCCGGTGCGCCGGCGAGGAAACCATATCCCGCCAAACCGAACGCCGCGTGCGGATGTACACGTACGTGGGCTTCGTTTGTGAGCTACGAAGCTTCGTCTTGGAGCTGCAATCATGGGAGACTATAAAATGATGACGCGAAACTCAGGTAAATTACTTCTGATTCCTCCGTGGTAACCTTCACCGTGCAGGCTCTGCTTTTCATTATGCACTGGATGGAGCCTGTGTGGTCAAGGGTTTCTTGTAAATCCGTTTGTTGTTTCACTATTGTTCTACTTAAATTGGTGCTGAGCCTTGGCAAAACATTGACAAATCTCCGCTTGTTTATGCCTGTGGCGTCCTCCGAGCTGGCGACGTGATGTAGGTAAAATTTCAGCAGGTGTTCTGACTTCAGTGAGAGTTCGTTGTGTTTCCTATACCTGGGTTTGTCCGTAGTCAAGTTTGACTTTTAGAAACTCAAAATTAATTACTTGAGTAATTAGGCAAAGATCAAGATAACACAAAGGTATCAACATATAACTTAGTTAGGCCTAAGGGTTGCCAAATACTTGTACAATATTTAAAAGGTGTATTATTGTCAGGTGTCCACACACTGGTTTTCCATTTTTGTCGCGCACTGCCTGAGTTATCCTCATCCCAGGCACCTGCAGGTATTAATTTTCGATTACCAGTGTGCCAAGTCATTTCTTCTTGACTTTGCGTTGACCGATTTGAAAACTCAGCTTCAGTGCTATGGGTTTGCCATTCCCCTAACCATGGAGGACGCCCCAACAGATCAGGATAGCGAAAAACATCGTGCGTTATTTTCCCGCAATCCCGAGCAACGAGTGTTGAGCTATCTAAGTATTTTTAACTGTATACACGAGCAACAGGTGACCGCAGGTCGGTTTCTCTCGCCAGGTAATTGATTTCACATTCTGAGCCTTTGGTGCACACAGACAGTAAAACGAGAATTCATCCGGCATCCGGGCTGTTTATTTTAACTGTAGAACGAGCCTTGCATTAGGGTGTAAAACATGAGATTGACACGGGCCCCCGAGGATGGGTGGCATTTTGATGAAGCCATATAGTCAGGCCTGCGCGCGGCATGCACAGCGTAATTCGACGGGTGATGCTGATGTGAGACCCAAGTGCCAGGCTACTCCCCCTCGAATGTTGATCAATCAACAGGTATGCTAGGAAGACATTCCAGGGTTCAAAAGATGAACTAAACATGTAAATATTGAGCTCAATTGGCATGTTTTCACTTTCTCGAGTGATGGACAGCTAGGAAAAATACACGGGGAAAAATATCCGAAGATTTGCCGTGGGTATAAGTGAGCATCGCGCCTATTTAACAGAAGTAAATTTTGCTAAGGCTTTTAAGATGCAGGCCTTAACGAATAACAGAGTGTGTTTTGCATACATCGCCGGCAGAATATCGCTGTGTAAACGGCTGTGTTTCATTGCCTTAAAGTTCTTTAAAATCAATTTTTGATGCTCATTTTTTTTGGGGGGGGGATAATGTTAATGTCTGTTATCTGTTAATTTTCATCGATGGCGGACGGGTTACCTTTACTAGTCTGTGTTAGGGGCTATAATTGGAAACCGATTAAAGGTCTGAAATATAAAAGAAAAAAGTGTTGCAGAAAATATTCTTGCCTGTAAGCTCATGGTACTTCCGACCTTCAACGTAATATCAACACCGGAGGTCGGGTCCTTTTCAATCGCAGACAAATTTTGTCGGACATCTTCCGGAAGAAAAACACGCTCCCGGCCTCCTGGGCTGTGTAGACACAATCCAGTTGCATGAGTTGACTTATTATCTTAGCTTTATGCGTCATCTTCCGCTGCGTGTCATGAGTCCCGTAAAGACAATGCTAAAGTCACTTGTATATTGATATCGGCCAACGAAACAGGTATCGTAGTCAACGGTTGGCATTTGGAAATGCCTCATATGTTGAGTGAATGGCACCTTACTGCCGGTCCCTTTTACAGTTTACACCTGCTCCTGTGCTGCATTATAATCGCACTGAAAAAACATGCCCGATCAGCTGGCAAATAGGGGCCCTGGTAGCCATCTTGCAGGGCAGTTCTTTTGTTCAAACAAGGAGACCTCCTTTGTTTATACCAAGTGGAACTGAAGCACTGGCCTGCAAGATGGCAACCATGCACACCCTCTATAAATGCATAGTAACATGTCATGCCACTATGTATTAGGGGCAGCAGTGACGACGAGTCATTGCCAGTAATAAAATTAATTATGTATTTGTAAAGCCATTTGGGCATATTGGAAGTAGGCTCATCCGTGGCACCTGTGGTGGCCCTGAAGGGACGTAAAATTCACTACCGGTCGTAAATATTATTTTGTGTGCGCGACCTTGTGAGTTTATTCACGACAATTTGCGAATATTTTTGTGACGTCGTGAATTTGTTCAGGACTAGTTAATATCTGTGCGACGTCGTGAATATTTGTGCAACGTCGTGAATATTTGTGCAACGTCGTGAATATTTTTAACGACTAGTAGTGAATATTTTTTTGCGACGCCCTGACTATTTTTCACGACGAGTCGTAAATACTTTTGCGACGTTGTGAATATTATTTTTTCACGACATGCCATGAATAAATTTACTAGTTGCAAACTTTGTCTCGAATAATTTTCCAGTTACTAGAAGGGTTCGATTTTTGCCTGACCGGCACGCAAAGGCTTTCTTAGGGTCGGGTCATACTTCAGGCAAATGCAAAAACAAAACAAATTTGACGTCACGAAAAATTTGCCGCGAAATTTTGCCTAAGTTCAACGAATTCGCCAAACGGATATTTGATCTGCCCTCACAAATTCGCGTCAGTCGTGTTTGCTTTTGCGTCGAGTATGAACCGGCCTCAAGGCAAGGCCGTCCGAAACAGGCTTCCATCCAGAGCTACGGCTAGGTCCGTTATCTGTGCGTCTCCGCGTATTTCCAATGTGGTGAAGACCTAGACCTAGCTCCAAGAAACAGCTTCTGACGCGCTGGCTGAGTTTTTATTATAGTCAGGTCTTCTGGAACAAACCATGTGGAAAGCAAACCTTGTTTTTCTGAGCCATGTCGTTCCCCAATGCGCTTGTTTCTTTCTCGCTGTACAGCTTCACTTGGACAACCATGCAATGGTACACGTGCATGGTCACAGCACCGCTGTGCATGTACTGTGCAGAAAGCTCAAGGCCAGGCCAGGCAGGAGCCTATCATCATGTGTTTGCCGTTTGTTATTGCATGTAGCGCACTTACCCTCCAAGGAAATATTCGAGACTAGTGGTGAAAAAAGGTACCATTATTGGTGAATAAAGTCACGGTGCAAAAACATTCGCGACAAGTCGTGAATTTTTATGTCCCTTCAGGGCCACCATAGGCACCAGTATACCACGGCTATATTAAGTCAGAGTCAAGGTAGACTCTTATTCGACTGTCCCCAGAGTCATGTGTAATCGGTGTTTTGATAGTCTCATGGGAAAAAAAGAAAATTCGGGCTGAACGTGAAGACGTACATGCACATGTCAGTGATCTACACCGTAGACAAGGGCAAAACTGTGTGTGTGTGTGTGGGGGGGTTGACTATATCAAACCCTTACCCTTTGACCAAATATATTGGGTGGGCGAGGGGCACTGGCGTGTAACCCCCCCCCCGTCTACCGTCCTCCCATAATAATTAAAGGTAATTAACAAGCTCTGAGCAAATCAGTTCGGATAGAGTTCATATAACACCCAACGATAAAAACCTCTGCTCGGATGAAAGCACTTGGGAAAACCTGATAGGGCATATAGTCATTAAGTGCTCATAATTATGGATTCCAACGGGACTTTCCCTTCATCGACCGAGAGACTATAGGCCTATGTATAGGTACCGGGTCCGGAAGAACTTGGCCCTTAATTTAAAGTGCAAAGTGGGGAAGAACACATATAAAGACCGTCCCGCGACGAATGGAAGTAACAATCAAATTATTGTGCACACCCTGAAACAGGCGAAAAACTGTGTTAGTAATATGGAAACCTTATCTACAGGAAGCCATCGTGTCCTAAGAATCTGTCTCATTCAATAACCTGTTAAAATGGGCTGGTACTAGACCATTTTGGGTTCTATGCCTCACTGTCATTTATTTTTAGAATGTGGCTTAAAAATGTGGATATAAATTAATCACATAATTCAAATTATTCATGAGCATAAATGGCATAGTTAGAAACTAAATATTGAACGTGTCTGATTCTTGAAAGTCGGTGTGCAAATGCTGCATCATGTGTCGATAACAATCTGGATGTGAGATCTAACATTTTGAGGTTCCTCATTATAATTGACGCATGCTGATATCTTGGCTCTTTGTTACCTTATACACACGCACAACCGTAGTATGAATCCAGGATTGTTACGCGCACAAGGAGCGTGTATATATACAAATACCCCAAATCTGGGTTATCTTACTTGGTTTTGTCTTGTGTCTCCCTGGGATCGAGGAATTTGGTATTCTCCCGGGTCTGTTGCCAAATGGCAAAAGGCTTCGCGGGGAAACTTCACAAAAGATTATCCCACGGGTGTGTGAACTTTGATTTCAATCGGTGAATGGTACATGCTTGGAGGAATCTTATTCCTCCATGGTGTAGAAGCTTGACCACCGAGGGTCTTAATTGTTGTCCCTTCTGGCCTGTAAATTTGTCAAACGCCTGCAGTAATTTACCAAACCAACTCAAAGTCCTTGGTAGAGGTTTGACCTCAGGTTTAATTCCTATTCTTTGGTTATGAGCCAAGATTGGCAATATTCAAAAGGGAAATCCTCGCATATTTGTATTAAAGGACGCGCGTATGGACACCTTTTACTGAATGTTAAGGCTTCAAACTCGGAACTTCATTTTCAGAGAGGTAGCTTTGAATGAGGTGGCAGAAATTGCCATCAGGCCTGGACCAAAAAATGTCTTCCACAGAGTGAACGTAGTTCTTTCCATGGGCACTTTCCTGACGGAAGCTGACAGACGCGGGACTAAACTGCCCATCGAGAGGTCAACCTGATAACCTTTGTTGACCTTCATGATGGTTGTCCACAACTGCTCAACAAGTGGACCAATACAAAGTGCGACTGTACCTCTTTCCGGCCGAGGGCTATTTTGGCCGTGTTTTACGCGTGTCAGTCCAGTGCGGGGCCGGACACTGACTTCAGTGTGTGACATAATCGACCCAGATCCCACGCTGGGTCAAAATATCATAACGCTAACTCGTGGTCTTCGGGATAACCACAACTGTGTGGGGTAGGATAGCAGATGCCGCTGCGAAACCGCACTGATCTGAATGTACTCCTCCCCGGAACTCTTGACAAATCTTACCGTCATTGACAACGAGGATTGACAGGCTGTCGATCATCTCCAAACAAACACCACAAGAACTCCCCATACAGCCGGGAGCAGGTATGTCGGCCAGAGAAGGCGGGATCAAATTTCGGGCGAAATCTCGATCCGCAGGATCGGATTTTGCTGGCACTTGTTAGTCTGCGACTTGTGATAGCGCCGCAAGGAGCAGCCGTACCGCAGCATTCCCTTGCTGTTGAACCCCGGAACCGGACCGGCCGACCATTGACCATGGTAGAAAGCAAAGTCGATCGGGGAATTCCTCGCGATTCGAGCGCGCCGATCACGGACAAAGCGAAGGTAAAAGTTGTCTTAAGGGATGCTGGCGAGAAGACTGTGCCAGCTTCAGGTAAGCCCTCGATATCGTTGGTGTATCACGGATTGATTTTGTTCGGAGCTGAGAGTCGCCTCACACTGTGTGTCATGGACATGCTGGATGGTGACGCTAGGCACCGACAAATCTCATACAAACTCTATCGCATGCTTTATGTTCTACCACTTTGATAAAGTTTGTGCCTTTGTATTGATGCCAATAAGATTTGGCGTCGAGGCACTGACCACGTTACGTCACCAGATTACCTCATATTTATAAATCAATTCAAGATCATATTGGATGACACCCTTTCAAATGAATTTCTCTAGTTCGAAGGCGAGGTGGTTCACGACATATCACAAAACACAGTGCTCTCAGTACTGATCATGTGGTTTGTATATACACTCATTACATTGACGCGACAATAGCGAATCGTCCACATTCTATAGGTGTTCCGAGGACGATTGATCATGTACCATTCTGTTATAAAACCGAATCCTGGAGGAATAATTTTAAAAGTGCAACAGTGGATCTTGTCTTGCACCCTCGTCGTTAATGTGATCAGCGCTGAAATTCGAGAATTAGTTCGATGTCTTCTGGTCAGACAGGATGATGCGGTTTTGTACAGCTCCAGTTGCCGTTATGGCTACCCGGACGCAGGACCTCGCCGAAGTGTGCTTTAGTTTACTCAAACTGAATGCAGACAATCCTATCGTTTCCCCACCTCATAGAACTGAGTGAAAGAAATTTTGCTCGTGGAGTGGACAAAAAAGGGCAGCATCGATCCTGCTTATGAGAGAATTAAATGGGCCACGCCAGGGCCGTACAACATGTTCAACATTAAACACGGCTGTCCGACCTTCACTTCAGATTCTCCACGCTTGCGAGATTGCCAGGCACGAGGCGGCCCGTCCCCTGTTCAATCCCCTGATCTCTCCCCGTGCGCCGCGCTGAATAACATTCCCTGCTATCGGGTTCCCGCCGTTCATGGCCGACTGCAAGGATACTAAGACATGAAGTCAGGCCAATTAACCAAATGTCATAGAATTAATGAAATCCAGACAAGAGATGGTGCTCAGGAGATCCATAATCCAGGAATACATCAAAGGCAATCCCGAGTTCGCCCTGCAATAGACTACTACTACCTAGGAAGTGCGTTCGCGCGAGCACTTGCGCGAAAGTTGGACTAACATTGTATTTGAATCTTACATCATGGTCGTGAAGACAGGACTTCTTAATTGAGGGCACGATCACGGTCGGACTTTTGACGGTTTCTCTGTTTAAAACTTGGCAATGTGTATACGCCAAGTTATATCTGGAGTTGATTTTAAACCATGACTGTCTTCGTTGAAAATATATGGCGTAGAGCCCTGTTTAACTTTGTACAGTAAGAGTGTCAGGACACGTATATTGTTTATATTGTGGAGTCGCTAACAATTGCAAGATCCAAGTTCTTAAGTTTCGAACACCCAACATTGTTTTAAACTATTGGACAGACATATACATGTGTACCCATGTGCACAGAATCTGGCAGGCGCATGCGCGCAAAATCACACTCACAGCGGTGACCCAATATGTGTCGCAGGTAGGGACAGTATTAAATTCATCCAACACAGAGGCTGCTGGTCGTCTTTTTTTTATTAACCCCTCACGTGTCGCAGGTAGGAAAAAATTGACTAACCCGTGGACGAAATTCCAAGTCACGGCCGATCGGTACCGCTTCAACATTAACTGAGTGGTGTTGGATCTACGCACGCTCCGCATGTGGTGCATGCAGTACAGACACACCCGGGTGAACGATTGCACAGGCACGCTCAAAGATTCGATACACCCTTCGTGATGCCTCGTTCCAGACCTCTAGTTGGCCGTTGATGTAATCAACCCCAAGGCAATGCCCGTTCCAAAAGTGCACCCCGAAAACACATATTACAAAAATAGGTTCTCAACATCGTAGCATATATTTATGATACATTTTCACCGACATGCGCTGTACCAGTGTGATTGCGCACACACTCCAGAGATGATGAAACAAACACGTTCGCAACGAACGTTAACAGTTGGCATGTCTGTGTGATTGGCAGGAATATATTACTTATGCCCCTTTCCACTCCTGATCCCGCATGCTGCTTCAATTTGTGCGCTGGGCACACGAGGTGCACGCCAGCTTTCCCAGGGGTGGCTTCGGATAGAAAACCAGGCATTCGTGAATGATTCGTCTGACAGTTAGAGTTATGTTGAGACGCGAGCGAGTGCGCACAAAAACTCTCCCTTGCACTTTCTTTTCACACTACAATTCTCCTCGTAACAGGTAGCTCCGTCAACCCCTTCGTCAATAACAACATGGAAGGTAGCCGGCAGAAGCTCACATTTGAGGAGCAAGTCATCTACAAGAGGCCCACCAAGGTGTACATGATCACCCTGCTTATCTTAGCCTTGACAACCATCGCCGTGCTGGTCCCTCTAGGTAGGCCTTGGCAACCTTCTCCTGACGCTAAAAAATGAAAGAGAAACGAGAACAGACAGCATGACTTCAGTTGTGTATAATTTTGTGGGTTTCTTATGTTTGTGGGTGTGGTGCAACCTTCTTTTCACGCAAAAAAGAGAAAGAGAGAGGAGGGAGCAAAGATAACAGGGCGCTCCTCGTTCAACGTCAGTTGTGTGTAATTTTTGTGAGTTGGTTATGTTTATTTTTGGGTGTTCCTGAAACAGTTGTGGTTGTTCTGGAGAGGAACAAACTGGCAAAAGACGTGGAAGAAATGAAGTCATCACAAAACTCCAGGTTGTGTACATCGGAACAGTGTGTCAAGTCGGGTAAAGTATTGTTCGTTTCCATGAATGCTGTAGTTTACTGACGCCGTCGTGTTTGTCTTATTGGTAAAATAAACCAATTTCACATGCACATGTATTGTTATGGTAAATAGAAATTGGCTGACGGTGAGAATTTGCAGAGCAAACAATGGGATGATGATTATTATTTTTTCTTTTAGGCCAAATCAATGCATAATCCACCCTTTTATCTGAAACCGAACGGTTTTTCATCACGGAAATTCGCTCCACTTCTTCAAGGCTCAGTGAAAAAGTGGGCTTATTAACAGTGTCATTGCCGCGTGTAGCGACTCTGCCGACGCGGTTAAACAAATTAGCCCAACCATGCACCAAAATTTTCTTCTGCACGACAGTGTTTAGGCGCGGAACTAGACAGGATTTACCCGCAGATACAACAAAAACAAGCGTCCGGCCGGCAGTCTGTTATCACAACAGGGACAAAGCTTATCTGCATTCAGAGTGTCGCAGTCATAGCTGACTGCCCAGTGTACTTTTGCCGCCGAATCCCCCCGGCCCTTCCATAAACTCTGCGCGGTTGCCCGCGAGATGCAATCAACTCTTCAAACTTGCTCAGAGCGTCTAAGATGAGAACACGAGGAACATGATAAGCACCGGCCAATTCTGGACACGCTATCGCTTCTACGTAGTCTAGTAGCGGACTTCTTCAGATGACTGCGACAGCGGCGAGAGCATTTGAATCACTGTCGCGTTCAGCCTTCGTGCTAGGGCCGATTGAGTTGCAACTTGCACTCATGTGCTCGTTTAATCCAAAATACCCAGCTTCCTTTAAAGAGTAGCTGCAATGATTTTTTTCTTAGACACAATTTTCGAGCAACTTTGTACTCTGCTGTTTTACATTCCTATTTGGTAAAATTGCATTGAAAAGTGCACTTTTTAAACACTGAAAATTGTATCCATGCTTTCCTGGACAGCTGGCGGTTATTGTGCTGTCAGGGAAGACATGGTTCAGTGCATAAGTTTTCTGTTAAAATCATCACCCAGAATTTACTTGCCTAAAAAAAAGGGGGTTGATGCTTGCTTATTTGCTGTGCACACACACAACTGTGAATCAGCAAAGGAGATAAAATTAAGTTGAGCTAAATCTACGAAAATTCAGGACTTTTTTGTATACAAGCTAATGTTACATTAGGCTTTCTTCCTGAAATGGGGATCACAGTTTTGCTCATGCATATGAAAATAATCATTAGCTTAAACAACAAAAAGGCAGTCAAAACTCTTGAAATACTGAAGCAAAAGTTGAAAATAAGGTTAAATGAGACACAAAGGTGCATCTTGAGGGCTTGTATTAAAACAAATTGATTGCTGCAACCCTCTAAAATACGTGTACACTTTCTCATACAAATGAGTACATTGGGTGTAGTTGGGTTTAATTAGCAGTCATACAATTTTCCAAGTTTCGTGCCAAAATGAAGCCAACATAGAATCGGAATGGGTGAAACGATAAAGTGAAAATAAATCGAGAATTTTCTACCGACTGAAGAAAACGGAAATTCTGCTCTGGCTAAAATGCTCTTTAATTTTTTTTTACTGGAGTAGTTAAGAGACTGACTACCTTGAAGCTACACGAAAAGCCTACTCAGTCCAACGTGACCTTGACCACTCCTATAACCTTGTACCTTCTTTACAGAAGAATCACGGTACCTATGCCTCAAACATCATAAAATCCTTTTATGATAAATCAACGTGATCATGAATAAGGAAAAGAATACGGACACAAGCCCTTATCTTGCTAGTTCCTCTTCCGAGCGTGGTTAGTGTGTCCCAAGAGCCCCTTTTCACCGTATAAGCATCTCATGTTATACCATATTCTAAGGACGTAAATGGAAGTCATGTTACCTAAGCTCGACTACGGATTTTATTATCATTTATAAACTCCTTTTTATCAGCTGGAATCTACCTGGACAATATGAACCAACGCGCCGACCCCTGCGATAACTTCTTCGAATACGCTTGCGGCGGCTGGGTCAAGAAAAAGGTCATTCCGGAGGACAGATCAAGTTTCAGCGCTTTCACCGACCTGAGAGAGGAAGTGGCTGTCAAGTGCAAAGGTATGATTTAAAGTTCGTGGAGTTGTCGTTCGTAGGGTACTTGCAGACGCTTGGTGGCAGCAGACATTTTAGCACTCTTCTAATTAATGCGCAGGCGTAGAACCCATCAAGCTGAAATCACAAAAGTGGAAAAGCAATAGCATCCATAAAAGGTTTGTATAAACATTTTATTCATAACTCCTCTCTACCGTGTCTACTAATTGTTGAATAAGATCAAACCTAGTTTAGTCCCTGAAGAATCTGTTTGTTTTTAATGCTGTAGAGTTGTTTGAGAGAGACGGAAAACCCGGCGAGGCGAAATCTATCACTAGTGTCCGAAACTTCTACAAGTCATGCCTCGATCTAGGTAAGTGAAGATGGTAATCAGTCGCTCGCACAGAAACTGTTTTTCTATAATAACACAGTTACTATGTTCGTGCTTTAAATGCTCATGCTATAAATGCTCTTTTTGCCTTCTAGACAAGATCAATGAGAAGAATTCTCAGCCACTGATGGACCTCCTCCAAGCCTTGGGTGGCTGGCCCGTGCTAGGTAACACCCAGGGTGGGAACTGGAACCGGTCTTCGTTCCAGTTCGAGAGCTTCTGGGCCTTCCTTAGCGGGAAGTACGGCGCCGACTTGATTGTCTCCTCGTGGGTTGGAGTAGATGACAAGAACTCATCAAGTCACATACTGAAGGTGAACCTGCTTCACTTCTGGAGTCCCCAAACCAATCCATGGTCCTTCCAAATAATCAACTGAAAAAATAAGGGCTTATATTGTCCTTCACACAAACTCAATCCTATGCGCTATGAGCAGAGGCACCCTTTCATCGGATAAAAAGAGCCATGTTGGTGGCGAGTATTCATATTTTTGTCAACCATGAGACCAAAACGCTCGCATTTCGTTGTCGTTCGTGAACCAGCGATGTGCAGTTCCCCCCCCCACCCCAGGAGCCCCCATTGCTAAGGAAAATTGTACCCTCTCTTGATTTGGCTGGGTGGATGCTTCTAATCTATTTGTCAGCATTCAAGGAAGTACATTTTCCTCAGCAAACTGTTCCATTTGTTGTTGTTTTCGGCAGCTCGATCAACCGTCTCTTGGCCTTGGCAGCAGGGACTATTACCGGGATGCAGAGTTTGAAGAGGTAAAAACTCTTGATACTTAATCAAAAAGCTGGTTGTGTGTTGATTTGGCCGTAATGTGGTTCGTAAGTGTGACATCACGTCAGTTTCAACAATGCCCACTGCACATAGAGCTATAGGACCTCCAGTGGCGTAGGTACGGGGAGGCTGGGAGCACGTGCCCCCCATAGATTCCCGGTGCCCCCAGGTGCCCCCTACTAATAAAAGACAGATGACTGGATATTGAACAAGGCTGATAAAACTTGCCTCAAAAAGCCACACCACTGAAAGCTGGTGCCCCCTATAAGATGCTAGTACCCCCTTGTGCCCCCTACTAGTAAAATCCTAGCGACGCCACTGAGGGCCACAGTGGAATCAGGGAGCCGGACGTTAACGCGCAACTTGTGCCCCCACCAAATCGCTTACGAACTAGATACAAACTCAAGGCTTAATCACAGAATCATCTCTCCTCGGTGTAAAAAGCAGGAGAAAAAGGCGAAGTAGGCCTACGAAATTCAGATTGTATGAAATATGGACCTATAGACAGTATTGCGTGTGACTTATCATGCCCACAACAAAGGCCTCAGGCTGTATGTCTTTGTGGAGAAAGACAGATAGGATCTCGGATTTCATGGGCCTGAAAATTTCAAATGGGAACGGAATCGAAATGTCCGGTTCTCTAAGAGTTAAACAAGATCGACGTGGAGCAAATAGACATATGGCCACTTTACGTTGTGCATCAACGCGCGCGCCAGGCCGTTGAATCAGAACGATTTGTAAAGAGCGTTATTTTACATTAAATATGCCGTATTTTTTCAGGAAAGAGCAGCGTATTTGCAGTACATGGTTGACGTCATCGTAGAGCTTGGTGGGGACGAAGCAACGGCCAGACCAGAAATGGCTAATGTCTTGGAGTTCGAAACGACCATAGCAAACGTAAGATACAGCACATAGTTGTTTTTGGTTACGCTGTTTTCAGTTTTCAATTCATGGTAAACTCTTTCCATTCTAGATTTCTTTCCATTGCCCTGTTTTCACACGCAGAATGGAAATAGCTAACACGAGACTTCAGAATGGTGCTCAGTTGCATTCCAAAAAATGAGAGTTTACTGTGTCTCTCGGTTTTCCTCACCTTTACGTCACTGTTGTGAAACTTTTGAAATGATGGAATTGCAAATTAACGTGCAGTTTAATGCAGATGAAACAACATCAAATGCCGCTACACCAACCAGTAAGTTACCAATTAGTTCAGTAGTCACTTACAATGTGCAATGTTGCAATGTGCTTTTAACGCAGGGCACAGACTTACTTTGTGTCTCTCGTGTGTCGGAATCTATACATAATTATTATTAAGTATCGTAATTATGCGAATGAAGTGATGTGTTTCGAAACACAGATGTCCACACCAAAGGCTGAGAGGCGAGACAACGAGGCACTGTATAACATATATACCCTGGAAGAACTGACCACAGTCTACCCCCAGGTACATTTGTATTTTGTTTTGTTTGTTTGTTGGGGTGTTGGGGGTGTTTGTTTGTTTGTTTGTTTGTTTGTTGGGTTGTTTGTTTGTTTGTTTGTTTGTTTTCATTCAAACGAATTTTATTCGTCTGTAACGGCGTGACTGCTGTTTACGTTTCCAGCCTGTTTTGGGCCACAACCGCATCTGTTTGATGAATATTGCAGAGTTCAGCGGACATATAAATGATGATTGCCTGAGATTTATAAGATCAAGAATGGAAATCCTGTTTTTAGAGCCACTTTCAATGATTTCCTCCATGAATGGTATTTTTAAAGACCCTTTCCAGGAGGGGAATAGGTGCTTTAAGACTATTCTGAAAGTTTGGACAATCTTGGCTCATTAGGGGGCATTTTGTCTAAGCATGAGATCATAATGTCCTTGGTCTCCGAAGATCTTTATTCACGTTTGGACCTACGTGTTTAGAATCAAGTAAGAGCCGTGGTTATCACTTCCAAGCCAGAAGAAAGTTGGGCTAATGAAAACTAAGCTGTTGTTTCGTTAAAAATGGTATCACGTTTAGATCAACTGGACGCTGTACTATGACTTGGTCATGCCGGAGAAAGTGAAGCCTATTCTTCCCTCGGAACGAATCGTCAACAGGGCGCCAGCATACATGGAGAACCTCACCGACTGGCTAGAGGCACAGGACAACAGGTGAGACAAACATGCTTACATCTTTGGTGAAGGTGTTGGTGTTCTCGGTCCAAGGTTTTTTGGGTAATTCAAAAGTCTGAGTGTTGAGCCGTCGAGTCACTTGTCTGAGGTTTACTTGCTTGCTGTTATTCTTGCTCGCTGTTCCTCCTTTTAACCGCGACAACTTAGTTTTCGTATTTTTTGGATTCAGTAGGCGACTTTCAGCATTTCTTTACCTAGAGACCGTTAAACATAAGCCCGAGTATAGAGGTTAAAAGTCTGTACAGAAACTAATGAACGCCTAAAGGGACAATACCGCTGTGGTGCCCTGAGCCATCGGGACTTCGAGAAATGTCAACCGATAAGTGTCTCGATATTTTCATATCTGCCAGAGTGATCGCCAACTACATGGTGTGGCGACTTGTGGACATAATGGTGCCTGACCTCGGCCAGACCTTCATCGATATTTACCAGCGGTACCTGAACGTCTTGAGGGGGACATCGACTACCTCGGCCCGCTGGAAGCGATGCGTGAATGAGGGTAACATTGTGTCGGAGTTTGCCATTGGGCGCATGTACGTAGAGGAGAACTTTCCTGCGGTCGCCAAGGAGAAGGTATGGCTAGTTTAAGACCTCTTTATCCACGAATTGTTGTTTGTATTAAATAAGTTGGGTTTGTTTTGCTTAGTTTCCGTTGGTTTGGTTTGTGTAGGTTGGGTTGATTTGGGTTGATTTTTGTCTAGTACCTAGAGTTCTCTTTCAGGCTTCCTCTGATAGTCTTGTTTTCGCGAGGCATAACTTCCAAGCGTTCATTAGTGCTTTGGCCTCGCCTCTTCTTGCAGACAGTCGAGATGATAGGCAACTTGAAGACTGCCTTCAAGGCCATGCTGGAGACGAATGACTGGCTACAGGAGGCGGACAAGAAAGTGGCTGCGGAGAAGGTTAAGGATCCGAGTAGTCAAATTTCGGCCAGGCATATCAAATTACCCTGGACAAAAATGCCAAGAAACTTTTTCACCGGCAGGTCGCTAACAAAGTTTCAATTTGTTAATTCATGCAGCCAGTATAGAGCACTTCTGTATTCTGAGATTTATTAAACAAAAACTTTTATACGGGATCTGTAGTTTTGTAGATGCAAGAGGTTAGCTTTTTGCTCTTTATTTTCAAAACATTATCCCGTATTTGTCCTGCAGGCTGACAAAATGCGAATTGATGTGGGTTACCCTGACTGGATAATGGACGATGTCAAACTGGACGAAAAATACCAAGGGGTAGGTGATCATAGCGCGTATTTTAGGAAAGAACACTCATAATTGCAATTTGAACAGGAATTGTGTAAATGATCAGGAGTGATAAAAACTACGGAAAAACCGTTATCAAAATACAAATGAAAACAACAATAATATAATTTTTCACCTTTTCAATTTTCTAACTTGCAGTTGGACTTTCTTGCCGACACCTACTTCGAGAACTCTCTCCTGTTCCGCCAGTGGAGTAGGACCGATAGTCTCTCCCTTTTGCGGGACATTGTGGACAGGACAGCGTACGTATAAACATGCATATGGACCGTTTGCAATCAGCGGCCATCTTGGGGGAGTTTTTGTAATTTTTGGATTCACGCTAAATACACAATGGTTGGCTCAACTTCTCACGGCGTATCTTGGTGGGGTATTTCTTGTTCTCGCCGTGTGCTGTGCTCCACATTCTCATTCTTCCTTCCATGAAGGTTTTACAGCTACTTTGCATTCTCCCTACAGTTGGACGTCCGGCCCTGCAGTTGTAAACGCGTATTTCAGCTCCAGCAAGAATCGAATTCGTAAGTGATATTGTATTATTAGTGCGTGCGCAGACTGACTGTTGGGGCCGTCACAGGATGATCACAAGTCAGTCACGATTAGTGAGTCAGTCAAGTCAGGCTACGCTATCTCAAGAAGATGTGAAAAAAGTATTTGTTATTTTCATCCCCGCCACTTGTGACGTCACTTAGGGTATTACCTGTAATGGGCTTGTTTTGAAGGCGACGACCACACCAAAGTATTATCTAAGAATAAAACCTAGGAAACCACGCACATACCTAAGAATTGCTTTTCCTTTTTCCCTTGTGGTGCAAACGCCAAGTATAATTTTGTCCATCTTTTTTTTATAACTATACAGTTTTCCCAGCTGGAATTCTGCAGCCTCCTTTTTACCATCAAGATTTGCCCTGGTATGTACTGTTTTTTAAAATCTCGTTAACAGAAAGGCATTCCTTTCAAGGACTTTTTCAATTTTTTTTCTAATGGAGTTAAACTCGTGTAGTCTTTGGTTACAAATTAGTGGGATAGATGTAGGGTGAAGTTTACAGAGGAAGGATTTAAAGGGTCTTTAATTTCCAGAGGGGCATACAAGGATTCAGGGGGACGTTGGGGCACCCCCCCCCATTGTGCCGTGAAACTATTTAAGCATCGCTGGGTATATTGGTTGGTAAATATCAGCAGATCTGAGAATAAGCATGTCGCCGAGAAATAATACAAGACACCTGTGAACAACTGTTAATCCATTTTGTTTTCTGCTGTTACAGGTATTCGAATTACGGTGGCATCGGAGTGGTCATCGGTCATGAAATCACACACGGATTTGATGACAGAGGTAATGACGTCGTGTGACTGCTGACGCTGAAGCAGCTGTCACTCCAATGCTTCCTTACACAAACTAACAATTTGGAAATCCGATATTGCAGTGGCAATGCAAAAAAGTAAAGAAACACGGCGCGAAGTTCCGGGGCGTGCGTAAAATAATTTCATTACTAGGAACTTTTAACCATAAGGTTTTTGCCGACACTGCTGCATTCTTGTCTAGTGTACACTGCAATCGGTTAGAGTGACTTCCAAGTGTTTTTTTTTCTGAATTGCCAGAGGTGATTTCAGAATTTGTTTTTTCGTCTTTTGCTGTATCCAGGGAGACAATATGACAAAGATGGCAACCTGGTGGACTGGTGGAGCGCAGACTCAGTGGTGAAATTCAAGGAGAGGGCGCAATGCATTGTGGACCAGTACGGGGACTTCGTCATGCCCGAGACCGGCGAAACCGTGAGTGTTCCTGGCCATTGACGCATGCGGCCAGCGTAGCTTGACAACAGTGACCTTGGTAGCAAAGTTATTCTGATGACAAAATTTATTATAGCAAAACTTACCATTCGTACAGGTTATAAAGGATTATAAAGATGAACAAAGAAATTGACTGGAGGGGAATTTGAACCTGCGGCCTCCAGAATACCATACCGGTGCTCTACCAATTGAGGTATCCAGCCCTATGTTGGTGGCTCTCCTTTGTTCGGGGTGCGCTTGCCAGAAGCCATTAAAGCCATTAAATCTGAAACACCATGTAGCCAGGGTTAGAAAGGAGTTTGTTTTACAACGTCCTCACTGCGCAAAAATAGCTACTGTGGCTGAGTTGACGGTGTCTTTATATTTGTCATCATTAAAGTTGCGACTGCTGATTTTAGCAGACGAGGACGTCCTCCCTCGAGCGACAAACGTCTACATTGAGCTTGATTTCCGTGCCGAAATTAGACCAACCTTTCACATGTACAACGGTTGCGGGATCCATTTGATCGTTCTAAAATTTCTGGGATGAAATTGTGCCGTGTTCCTTCTGACAAGAAGTAAACACCAATATGTCATTATGATTCCATCATGCCCTTTCTTCCTTTGTAGCTGAACGGCGTCCAGACACAAGGAGAAAACATTGCTGATAACGGGGGCTTGAAAGAGTCGTACAAGGTAAAGAAATGGCTGAGATAATGATGGTTAATTACATATTCCTTAGTCATTTATTTCAGTTCGGGCCCAACCTCAGTAACATCTTGTCAATGGCATCACGTAGCGCGTTATGGCTTTCCTAAAGAAAGGTTAATTGGGCACAGGAGGTATTCAGTGCATATGAGTGTAGTCCACTAAGTCAGGCCCCATTAAAAACAGTGTAAAATCAGCACTGTTCGGGGTCCAATAATATGCGTACCAACATCCCTGAGGCATCTGAAACACACGTTAAATTATTGTATGGTCCATAATCTTTCACTTTCTTTTCAATTTTCTGAGTGTGGGTTAACTGATTACATTTTGAGTTATTCCCTCAAAACAAAAATACCCCCAAAAAAGTGATTTTTTCCAAAGTCTGCTTGCAGCCATTTTTCAAGTGGCAACCCTCAACTTTCTGGGGCACTTAGGACCATTTTTCAACCGTAGAGTTTAGCCATTCTGCGCTCATATGAAAGCCCAAAGACCCAGGGAGTTGACCCAGCAACGATTTACACCATCTCACCATTTTTGGGGCCATACAGTCTCCTTTTTAAAAAGATACTGTGGGTGGGGGCACTTTTAATGCTAATGAGCTGGCCAGAAATTCTCGCTTGAGTTAGTGGACTGCACCCATATATAAACCCCAACGTCGTTTTTAAAGATGTCGGAACTTTGCGAAATTTGGTTCAATCCAAGTATTTGGAGTACATGGAATTGTAGCTTTTTTGATCCGTGGTTGGCTCGTCCTATCCTTAGCAGCTGTCACTCTTCACGTTGCATCTACTTGTATTCAATGTTCCATCTTAAAGAATCGTCCCCTGTCTTTCTGCAGGCCTACAAGGATAATGTGGCTAACGAGCCGGCTCTACCAGGGTTAAACTTTACCGCAGACCAGATGTTCTTCTTAACCTTTGGCCAGGTACAGATATGGTACAGGCATTAATTAGTTCTGTCCACACGACATAGCCCTCCCACCGGGGCTGCGCATGAGTGACACGCTAGCTGTGTCCATCTCCGTGCCCCAGCCTGGGATTTTTATTTGAAGACATAAAAGAGTCTTGTAATGCTCAAAGCGATGACCAATCCCCGCCCCCCCCCCAAATGAGGGCTTTGATTGTCCTCCTCACAAACTAAATCCTATGGAACTTGAGCTGGACCAAGAGAGGGCGCTATTTTCCTATCAACGGAGGCTTCTTTAGTTGAGACTGAACTTCGGTGGTTCACGAACGACTAGGAAATGTGCGCGTCATGGTCGCATCGCTACCAACAAATGAACTTCTGACCAAAGGGGCCTCTTTTCAACAGATGAGGGGGCGCTTCTGCTCGAGGCGGATCATGCAGGAGACACTTTTAATTTCAATAACAGGCTTATATCAACATGTGCTCGTTTGTAGATATGGTGCAGTGCCTTTCGGCCGGAAGGTGTGACGTCACAAATCCTATCAGGAGTTCATAGTCCCGGTCGCTACAGGTAAGCTGAGGACCCTTCCAACTCATGACCTTCAGACACCACATGAAGAATGTGGCCTAACTGCGTGGAGTAAGCCAGGTGTAAAAAAGCTTGTTGAGGGTTTGCATGGCTGCCATCTTGCAGGCTGGTAGGGTAGTTTATTCCACAAGGTATTCACCAAAGAGGTTTCCCTGAGGAACGAACTGCCCTGCAAGATGGCTACCACGCAAAGCCTCTTTTGGATGGCGTGAACCAGTGACAGTAACTGTTGCTCATACAAAATTAGTTAACGGTAATCTTATTGTATTCTTAGCTTGACTTATCTGTTCCGAATTGAGGTCGGCTTGGAAATGTCGATTTCTCGGCTTAGCAACGCTTGGAATAATTTTTTGGACCAGTCACGTCTAGCATTCGTCTTTTGATGTACGTTTGTCTTTCAGGGTCATCGGCCCTATGCAGAACAACGAAGCCTTTGCCAAGGCCTTCAGCTGCCCGCCAACAAGCTACATGAACCCGGCAGACAAATGCAATGTCTGGTAGCCGCCGCCCGACTGTCCAGCCTTGTGTATAATTATTCGGTGTAAATTAATGTCAGTGCCGTGGTACGTCTTTTCGTTCGTTGACTCGACTGATTTTGGCGAACTTGAGAAGTGTACATTCGTGATTTACGCTGATATTTAAAGTGTAGGCCTAAATGTAAAGCAGGACCTGCAGGGTTGGGATGACTGATGTGGGATTAGAACAAGGGAAGTTGGAACATCGTCCAGTCAATTTTCCTGTTCACTGGAATCGCACCAGACTGTAGACAAAGCTTCTTGCGTACCATCAATTTTGTAATGTGAACAATAATTTGAAGGTCGTAACTCAGTTTGATAGTTGGGTGCCGAGATTTGTGTTCGCCAGGGGAGGTGGGGCGTAGCCCATTTCAGTCAGATTATTCTGGCTTATACTAGTTATAAATTGAACGAGTTCAAATCCCAAAACGAAATAAAATCCAGTTTCCACCTTCCCATAAATCAGGACCCCCCCATTACTTTGTGCACGAAATGGGGACCGTTCATTCCATCGTGAGTCCTCTGTAAAATTTGAACTAAAAGAGAGTTTTTTTCTGCAAAACTGATTATTGATCAAGTGGACGGGTTTCCTCATTTTTGCGTTTTAACTGTTCAATTACACATGATGGTCATTCTCTTCTCATATTCTCTATTAGCGATCTCTTCTTTGATAACAAGACGTACATGTACGTGTAGGTAACCAGCTTTTTGTACATACAGTTGTTTGTGCATTTAAGTCACCTTCGGAAGCACTCTACTCATTATTAATTTGTATACGCTGTGGAGATGTACATACAGTGGCAGTTTTAACAATCTGTAATGCCTGTCGTAAAATCGTGTATTTTTATCGAGAGCAGAACAGTTTTTAATAGGGCTGGAGTCCTCCGATAAGGACACCGTAGATGGCGCTATTCAACCATTCCTGTGGACTCCGCTTTGTGAAATATAACACGTGCGTATATAATAGGAATCGAAAGTCTCATTTGAATCTTATTTGTACAAGGAGAAAGGTATAGGTCTTCATCGGTGTTAAACGCACGTATGGGCTCATGCTCACTTAAAGTAGACCTATAGCCGTAGCCCCTGGAGCCCGTTTCGGACAGACGGCCTCATTTCCATCTGAAAGTTCACAAAGATTTATATAATGCTTTTTTTTGTTATCGGAATTATCCTCTTGATTGTACTTTCTATTTACATGTACTCTCTTAGACTTCTCAACTCACGTGCTGCATGTAAGAATTATTAGTACTGATTATGTAAAATGGTAATTATTGTCGCGTATGATATTTGCTATACGTTAAGTGGATCTAAATGAGTGTCTCTGTACTTTGTGAATAAAACGTATTCGTAAAGATGCCAATGTGCATGTATATATGATGACGCACAAACATACACGTAGTTGTATCATTTTACCATACGTGGACCGAATTTCCAAGCATTTTACACAGCGTCTGAAGGCTTATTCCTCTCGATTAGACCGAACTTCCAATACCTCAAACAGAGTTTAGAAGCAGTTGAATAAAACTGAAGACATAACAAGAAAACTTGTGAACAGCCACTTGCGTCGTTGTGAATTACAGATTGAGAGTTCGTGGAGTAACATTTACGGCCTTTCAATAGGAATCAAAAATATTATACTTCACATTTGGATCTAGCTTTCAGGAAATGGGGGGGGGTTATATTAGAAGGGGCTGAATGGTCCAAGGTGTGCCTCGAAAATATTGAAATCCTTAATTATGTTTTCCCTAAATTTAGTATTTAAATGGTTATTTGGCCTATTTCACTGGTGAACGTTAAATAAATCAGCAGATGAACAAGGGGTTGCATGCATTTTCTCCACCCAACAGATTCGCTACTTGACGATGGGCGGGGTTAGAAGCCCCAGAAGGTAGAAAGGAAAGAGTTAAAGAAACAAGCTTAAATTAAATTTACACGTCAAAAAATTGATTGAAACTGGAAAGACACTTTTGGCAAAGTTTTGTGGACTCGCCCCGCTTAAGCTTTCCCGGCAGAATCATGCCTTCATGAATAAGAATTATTTATTCCCAAATGTTTGGAGCTTTTCGGGTAAGAGACCCAGGCAGCCCCTTTAATAGTTCGGTACATGCTTTGGCACCGACGGCTGTTCTGTGAAATTTCACGGTTGAACTCCCTCTGAATAGGTTTCATGTATATCCCAAATACACTGCTCCTTGATTAAATACAAAGACATAATGCCCTTGTGCTCATGCAGTGTGTGACGTGCGCGTATCCTCTGCAGTCGTAATGCTCATTTCGATTGAAAGAGACCCCCTGCACATGATGTAAATGATGCATGTATTTCCGTGAACCGGAGACTGAACAGCGACTCGCGTCAAGCTCACGGTAGGATCCGGCGATACCTACCGTACCTACGACCAGCAGTAGCCCCCAATCGCAGTCGGCGATACGTTCCTGTGGACTGCCTAAGCGTGTGCATGGTAAGTTGTCCAAACTTTCGGTACAGTAGGTGTGCATGTCGTGTATGATAGGGGTATACTTGCAAGCAGACAGGTGCATGTGACACGATTACGGAAAGGCCGCACAGGTAGAGCAAGGATGTCCTTGGTCTGTTGTAAGCCCTCCTTGTTCATATGTACAGACAGTGTTTAGGTAAATACATGTAAAATGCGGGTATAATGTACATGTATACACGAACATGCCACACTAAAGCCACTCAACCCTGGGCGAACCAGGCTCTGGGTCATAAATTTGAGTTTTCAACCCCACGTTCAACCCATTTCACACTTGTTTCGCACGGTGCGAACCTTGGTTGAGTATTATATTAATCTCAAGCCTGGTCCGGAGCATGGTTGAGTTCAACCCGGGTCGAAATCAATCTCGGGATTCTGACGGAGGGTTGGCGCAGGGTTGAAAAGTTGCAAGTGTGAATTGTCACCAGTTTTCAACTTGCCCTGCGTCAATCCCAAGATTAGTAATTAGCGCAGGTGCCGTGCGATCTTGGTTGCTTTATTTTCACACCTCGACATGCTCGGTGGTTTTTTTTTTAATTTCTTACACCAAATGCGTGTTTACTATGAACTACTTTACTTGTATGCCTATGTCGTCATTGGTGACATTGGCCTATACAGCAAATTATCATAATTTTGAATTCCCGTACACAACTGGAAGATATCATTCTAAGTGTCAATTTAATATCCAGAACATCATTTTTGCCAAAGTTGTACTTTTGGGTTGTTTTGGGGGCGCTTTTTTTGGGGGGGGGGAAGGCACATATACACATGTAAACCTTAAGCACGCAGTTAGAAGGCTATAAAAAAGTTGAACACCAGGCCAGGCCTCGAGTTTTTCAACACACGTCACATCATCGAAATATCAATAATTACGTGCTTTAAATTTAGAAATGGAAAGTTGCGGATTTGTAATATGGATTTCATCTCCAGATGATTCCTTTTACAGGTTCGCGTAATGTGTGTGTACCAATACCATGGAGTAACGCTATATTCTGCGTAGATGATGTCACACTTGACCCTAGCCACTGATCTCGTCTGATTGTATGGCTATTTCTCTCAATGGACGCCTTGTGGTCCGTATAAGCGACATACACGTACACAGGTATCCGCAACGAGATTGCCATGACCTTGCAGACTGAAATACTGCACTGTACATTAATACAGGCACACTGCATAATATGTAGAATCCGTCTCCTTACAAAGGAGGCTTAGTAAGCAGATCAAGGCCGGGCATTGTTATGAAAAATATTAGCAGTATTTTAAGATGGGCTAGAAACTGTACATGGAAATTGCTATTTCATCAGAATTGACAGTGATGAGAGAAAGGAGAATGTCAGGTTAAAATTATTTATAAGTGCGCTATACCGGCCACCACACATTCGAATAAAGCCAACTTGAACAATAATTCTTGGGCCTGCATTAAACCGACCCATCTCCGCCCCCACAGAAACATAAAGCCGCGCTCCGTCAGACAGATCCTGTTCAAAGGCCTGACTCGGACTGCGTGGACAGATGAATTCATTTTCTGTCAATTTATAGATGACAGTGGAGACGTTTCGCTGGCTATTTTAAAAGCAAATTAGGTCATAATGTAGTTTTTTTTTGGGGGGGGGGAGGCGGCTGAGACGATTTTTATGCACGAACAACGAATAAGGGTGGGTGGATCCTGACCAAAATTTCTGGGAGGAGGACAAAAATGTGAGAAGTTTTCTATAGAACCTGTAGTGTACTCAAGGATGAGACAAAAATAATATTTGGGAAATTTTCAAACGCTTTGGTAAAGGAGGGAAATGAAATATGCATTATAAATAAGGTCACAACTCTCTCGTTATATTTCAAAAACTCCCCCTTGGCCCTGTTGCCCCCCTCCCCCGATGCGTCAGTGGCTGGTTTAAGCAGGTAAAAGCCAGTCAGATCGACTCAAAAGTGTGGGTGCGTGTGTAACGACCCCGTTTTCTACGATGTTATTTTGGACGAAGTGAGTGGGTTTTTAATTGAATGGGATTCGCTAAGTTGATGTAATGCCGTGGTCACGAGTCGATCCTTTACGTCAGCGAAGCCGTTTTCCTCTTGATATTTAAATACTTCGGCAAACGTTGACTTCACACTTGAAATTGATTTTTCATGAGTGATTTTTTTTCGTCAACGTTGCCGGTGAAACCAATCAAGTACCGGATCAACACCATATGCATTTGCACGAAATCAGCTAACATGGGTTCGATTGGGACACCCAATGCAAATTGTGGCTTCCGAATGAAATGAAATATCGATTTAGATATTCAGTTAATCTGATGTACTATTCAGTGGTTAGTTTTACTGGTGACGTGGCTTTAAGTGCTTCTTCAGACAGGGATGCAATGCCACGCAGTGCTCGTGACATAGAAAAAGAGATTGTCCCTTTAACGCTTGCTCTATCTAAGGCCTAAGGTCAATTATCAAACCAGGCTCCTTGTTGAATGCAACCACTGGAATATATACTGAGCCATTCAAGGCATCTTGACTGCGCATCAGGCGTTTTTGTCATCAGCTATCTAAATCAAAGATATTTTGAAATGTAGCATTCAACAAACCTGTATCCTTGTCCTGTTCTTCGTGGCCAATATGCATAATACAATGGGACCCCTGCGCCTTGAACAAAGGCCACGTTGCACTTTGACATTCAATTGAATTTAAGGGTAGTAGTGAACCGTTTTCACCTTTGTAACAGTATAGCAAAGAAAACAAAACTGTACTCGTGATCGACCGAATTGCCCGCATTTTATTTACCCACAGTGACGCAGCTCGGCCCACAGATTCATTGTTAGTGTGATATACATCCATTCCCACTGTCGCAGTTTAAACAGAGAGGGTGAGTTCTTTTCCCTTTATATTTTCCTATTAACAAGAGATACATGTGCATTTATCCATTTCCTCCATTGACAGAAATTGTTGCATTTGGCGGTTTATTGAAGATTATCTAAATAAAAGTCAATAGCTGATGTATGGTGAATATGAAACAGATCGCTGGGCTTGTGGGGATTGCTTTTACTAACGTCCGAACATGCTGAACAACGATTTACTCAATTTTGGTAAAGAGCTGTGTATTTCTCGGCAATGGAATTTGATTTTGAGGATTTTCGTCAATTTTTCTTCTAGGCCTAACTGGAAAAACTTGTAATACCGAAGCCAAAGCTTGGCTTAGCAGAGGCCACAAATCGACGATTTAATATTCTGTAATGTTCTTAGTTCATCTCTTGTGACAACTGTTCATGTCAAGAGATGCAGTCATTAACGATTAGGAAAATAATGGTGCATTGCCGGATGTTCACGGTTCCTTTTGAAATTGCCTTTTATTCATGTGAAAAAAACGTCCAAAATAATCAAAGGACAAATTAGCGGAAGTATAACAACTGGGTCACGAACGAGATGAGTTGCGACCGTAACTCGCACTTCAAAATTGAAGAACCAAGCGGCCAGTGTAAACCGAATCGAAGCCTATCAAGGCAGGGTTGCCTTTTGCCATGTTAGTTATTCTCATAAATTGTGAAACTTGCAAAAATATCCTCCACTTTTCTGGAAAGAAACCGGTTAAATCATTTCTCGCCTGTGAAATCAACATTGCCTTTCCTCATTAACTGGATAAATTCAGAACATTCACCCGTCTATATGCTCGTATTTAGAAGCCCAGAGACAATTTGCGGCGATAAGGCTTGAAGGGGGCGTGATCCTGATATTGCGTAGCAGTTGTCACCACACAAACTGGCTATTGACAAAGTCAATACACTGAACAACTAACAAAAGACGTCGGCGCAATAACAATGGACGCTCTTTGTTAGGGTACTGTGTTTCTTTTGTTAGATGTTTGTAGTGTTATTTAAACCGCGCAAAACCCAAATTTGCCGGGGCAAACAACTTTGCTAAATTTGCAGTTTGATTTCCGGACCACATTTCCTGTCATAATTTCCAGCACCGGCGACGTTGCGAATGGTCCACTAGAACCATTCTTTGGTACTAGCTTCTGGCACGCCTTGAATTCGGAATTTCGGAATCCAGAAATTGGTGTTTTATGTTGTTGTCGTTCCAAAAAGTTCACGTGACATCGCACGGCGTCTGTGATTGGCCGACAGTCTCTCAGCGACTATAACGAAATCACGGGAGCTATCTTTCACTGCACTCTTCTGAGGTAAAGTTTTACCAGGTTTTCGTTGAATGTATGTATACGAAGCTAGAGCAACCAGCCCGATATTTTACTGCAAAAAATCTGATCACGGTCTATTTGTTTGTTCAGGTCGTTGACCCCGCTCCAAAGGCACGATGGGTAGGCGTGGTAGTCGCGAGGAGCTAGTCTTTGAGGATAACATCGGCGTTCGGAGGCCCAGCAAGCTTTTTCTTTTCATCCTTTTTCTCCTGTTTCTGATTATTTTGGGCCTCACTGGGGCATTAGGTAGGTCATAACGATCTCGCCGTTAGCCCGAGAACCCTAAACTGGACTTTCTACACCAATATTTTGCAATAAGCCATTTGCGAGTTAAATTTGAATAAAATCTGGTACACTGAGTTATCTGATTGCACATAAACATAACAATTTGAATTCCCCAGACTGAAGACTGTGTTGCTATACCTCGTGATTCGGGGCAAGCTTTTGCTTAGCGACCACCATCTCTGGAATTCCTTTGTGGCTTTCTTTTCCATTTAGAACAGTGTGTTGTTGCAAGGCGTCTCTTATGTAACCAAGGAAAAGCTTGCCCCAAATCACGAGGTATAGCAACAGTGAAATAGTATGGAGAATTCCAATTGTTATGCTCACTTTAATTTAAAGAACTCAGCGTACCAGATTTTTTCAAATCTAACTCGCAAAAAGCTTATTAGCAGATGCGATGTAATAGAGACACAACATAGGGCCTTTGAAGCATCATTTGTTTACCAATTTAACTCACTGCTTCTTTTTCAGTTCAATCACCTGCGAATGTACCCCTGCTTGATTTTGTAATGCTTTGCTGTTGCTCTTCCATATTTTTCAGTCCAATAGTGTGAATTTTGTGAAATTGTACCAGGAAACTCAACAATTGTATTTGTACTCACATTCCTTCCCTTCGAGAAGCACTTGTTCGTGTCCAAAGTACAATATATGTACTGCCATTGGTGTAGAAACAATATCCACGTTTATTTGAGTACAGTATTCTCTACTGCACTGTTGAAAATGTCTGTTAAATAATAGCAGATTCTGTTGTGAAATGGCATGACAGAAGTGGCTGTTTTGGGACAGCACATTCTACTGTCAATTTTCTCTGTTTACGGGATAGTTTTTGGAAGTTTATATTTGGACATGGTGAGAAAAAAATCGTACGTACGGATTACTTCGTACGTACGGATTACTTCGTACGTACGGATTTTTATTTCGTATGTACAGATTACTAAAGTGTATTTACGGATTAGTAATCCACATGTTGCATTGCATGACTAGACTTCAGTTCATTGGGCCCGAACGGGACCAAGAGAGGGCGAAATTCATCGGAGGCTCCTTAGGTAGGAACTCTACTTTGCTGGTTCCTGAATGACAGTGAGCTACATGGGTTGTGTATGCGTCCGGCCCTACCAACAATACAACACTCCCCACCAGCATGGCCCCTTCAGCTGATGAGGGGATGTTTCTGCTCAAGGCAAATTTTCGAATGCGACCATTGCCTAGGATCATTATTTAAAAAAACGTACGTACAAAGTAGTAATCCACACGTACGAAATAGTAATCTGTACGTTCTAAATGGTCATCCGTACGTACGAATTAAATTTTTCTTACCATGTCCTAAATGCACTTCCATAAGAATCTCGTGTGTACAGAGAAAATCGACCGTAGAGTATACTGTCCCAAAACAGCAACTTCTGTAATGCCAATTGACAATAGAATCGACCGTTATTTAAAAGACATGTTTTTAACATTCTGGAAAACCCGACAAAGTGCTCAATCAAGTGGTTCTCCTTACGGTACCATTTTCCTTTTTGTGTATTCACAAATTATTCAAATATCTTTCTTTGGCTTATTTTGTAGTGTACTTCATTTTGGACAGCAAAGATTGCCGGTCCAAAGCCGCACTTGACGGGGACATGTGCACATCAAAGCAATGCATCAAGTCGGGTATGTGCCAACTTCGTTCCCAACACAGACCTACTACACGTACTCTATACCCGTGCCTTCTGTTCCCAGTTATGCCCGGGGTTGTCATTCCCATGCAGTCTGACTGTCTGGCTGCGAGATAATTACATGTATGTGTATATGTCTTGCTTTCATAAATGAACGATGCTGAAGGAAAGGATTTTCTCCGTTGTATTGATAATTTTGCCATTTTATGATTATGTACATTTTTAATGTACTCAGCAAATTAAAGTGCTTAGCAGCTTTTAGCTAGTCACCGACTGAAGTAGTGCGCGATTTCTTTGTCTCGAAGGTGCTTAACAGAAAACAATACCCAACAGATTTTTATGCTAAGCAAATTGAGAGGAAAACTGGTCACAAATAATACACATTTCATGTCATTTAGGCTGGTAACTATTTCTCCGTTCTTAGCAAATTTCAGTGCTTTGCGGCCGGCTTTGTGAACAAAATCTGTAGTCTATCGTTTGGAGCTATCCAATGCCAGCGTACATTGACGGTCCTTGTCTATTTTCATGGCAAGTTTAAGTTGGTGGCGCACTTATGCTTCTGAAAGTGCGATATCTTGTGGTGTTTTCATTAAACTGCCGTTTGGTTTTCCTCAGCCGCGGTTTACCTGGATAGTATGGACAATACCACAAGTCCGTGCGAGAACTTTTACCAGTACGCGTGCGGTGGGTGGGTGAAGAAGCACGTGATTCCAGAGGACAGGTCGAGGTACAGCTCCTTCAGTGCGCTGGACGAGGATGTAACCGTGAAATGCAAAGGTACCCGACCCAGCCTATACCACTCCAGCCCAACTCAAACCATTTTAACCCCGCCCAACCCAGTCCAGTCCTTCCATCAAAGCCTAAAGCCTAACTCATCAGCCTAACCCAGCCTATTGCTTAGCCTAGCTTAGGCTAGTTCAGCTGAGTCCATCCCAACCCAGTCCCGCCTAGCATAGCAAGACTCACTGGCCTAACTTATAAAAGCCCAATCTAGCCAAGAACAGCCCAGTCCAGCCCAGCTCAGCCGAGCCAGGGCTTAGCCTATACTTTATGTCAACCCAGCTTTAATTTAGCCCAGCCCAGCCAAGTCCGACCACACCCAGCTTTAATTTAGCCCAGCCCAGCCAAGTCCGTCCACACCCAAATATGCGACACTGCCGGACATTTACCCCATCCAGCTCGAAGTGACTCAACCTCATAAATATTCAAACTATTTCCTATTCAACCAAAGCCCCTGTCAAGACCAGCCTGACCCAACCAAACGAACCTAATGCTTCATCCCATTCAATCTATAATGAGGAAAACGTAATCACGTAACCATAAACGTCCATATAGATCTGGTAAAAGTTGTATTGCTTCATGTACAAAATGTACCTTCTGTTTGATGCCATCGAATCTTAAATAGCAATAATGTTTTGACAGCCCTTTTCTTCCATATTTTTCCATTCTGTTTCTAATGTTTAAGAGTTAATGGAAGAGGATGCAGTTTTGGGAGAACCCTTGGCCATTACCAATGTCAGGAAATACTACAAGTCCTGCCTAGACTTGGGTAAGAAATACGTAAGACGTATAGCCCAACAGAGAAATAAACACAAAAAACAAGAACAGAAAACCAGCCCACTGGACATTCATTGCAGCCAATAAAGACAGAAACTAAAACAGGAAACAGAATATCAAAGACGGGGGAATACGGGCCATTCACAATAGAGCGCCTCCAAGAGTTTGTAACACATTGGCCAATCACCTGCGCGAAATCTGTCCACCCTTTCCAAACGTGCATTGGGTCGCGTCGATAGATTTCGCGTATTGTGATTGGCCAACGCGTTGCAAACGCGTTGGCCAATCACAATACGCGAAATCTATCGAAGGCGCGCTAACGTGAGTTGCCCGTATTTCATTCAAAAAAGCACTTTCTTGTTATTTTTTTTCCAGCAGATTAAAGATTCAAATAGCAAACTGTAACTATAACAAAGCAACCAGACAGACGCGAAATTAAAACAAGACAGTGCAGTGTACGTGCTCTGTGTGACTGTCAACTCCGGACTTTTTCCTCAGATACGATTAATAGTTTAGACGCAAAGCCCTTGACAGATAATTTAGAGGCGGTTGGAGGCTGGCCAGTTCTCGGTACTAACCCTGGTGGCAATTGGTCCGAGGACAACTACGAATTTGAGGACTTGTCGGCGATGCTGTATAGGGAGTATGGAATAAACGTTGTCGTCGCTGCGTGGGTTGGCGTGGACGACAAGAACTCGAGTCTACACGTCTTAGCGGTAATTTAAGTAGTATTTCTGAGGACAAGTCTGAAAAGTTACAATTTAAAGTCCCTCTGGTTAAGTGTTACCACGCAAGATAAATTTATTCATACAAAAAGGCTGTCACTCGTGTCTGGTGGAAGACAGGGTTTTGCATGAAAGAAATGTCACTGTTGCGTTTGAAGTCCTCTGACTTTGATTTCAACTTGTCCTCACACAGATTGATCAGCCTAGTCTACTGATGGGAGGTCGCGAATACTACCTGGAATCGAATTATTCCAAGGTAAGTCTGCTCTAGCTCTCCCAAACCTTACAGCGCCTTGTATAGACGAGCCTCTATTTAATACTGTTTTAAAATCTTTCTTTGGCTAAAAGAAGCCATAAGCATGGCGTGACGCCGGGGCCATCCCTGCAATGGTGTCGTAGACGGATCTCAACAAAATTGTTCGCTCAAGATTGAGAAAAAAGTTCAAATGTGCCATTTCTCATGACCATTTTTTGACAAATCGTTTTCACCCTGTTTGGAAAATAAACTCTCTCCTCCCTTTAAATTATCCGTAGGAACGACAGGCGTATACGGACTACATGGTTAACGTTGCTGTCGCTCTTGGTGCTGAAGAAGACGTCGCTAAGATCGACGCAGCTGATGTTTTGGCTTTTGAGACAACGATCGCTGAGGTGTGTGATAAAGCAGTAGATGCCGAGGTACAACACTCGGCCTTAATAAGTTGGCTGCACGGTGGTTGGTGTGTGAAGCGCTGGCCTCTCACCAAAGTGATACGGGATTGATTCCCGACCCTGGCCATTGCGTTAGCCAGGCATGGCGACCAGACATGAGACCAGTCAAAGGCCAGTCACAAGTCTAGTCTCGAGTGACTGGTTGAAACAGGGTTTAAACACCAAGAAGAATGCTTTTGTTGCAGTTTCTTTAATTAGCTTGTGACTTGAATGCAGACTTGAGGTCCTGCGTTTGCCACGTGAAGCGTCCTGTGTGACTTAAACGATGGCCTCGTTCGTCTACAGCACGGATGTTTAGAACTCGAATCTTAGAGTCAACACCAAGAAAAAGACGACAGCAATCGTTTAAGTCGTTACCTCTGCTGGTGTGTTATCTAACGTAAGTTTCCGTTCTGTGAAGAAAAGACTGTTGGCCATTTCTGCCGATTTCCCTCGAAAGTTACCCTCTCTGTGCTGTGCTGTCATTTTCAGTTCAGTGTTCCGCCTTCGGAGAGAAGAGACGCCGAGAAACTATACAACCCAATTCAACTTGGAGACCTGGTAACAAGTTACCCTGAGGTAAGATAAAAAAGAGAATTCGAGGGTCTGGTTTTTCGTGATGGGCAATGATTTGGTATATTGTTAAATTTCAATAAATTATAAGCAGCATACGAATGCCTATGGGCCTTGGCCTACGAAATACATGTCATGATTTGAAACTTTGACTTACATCAGTGACACTAGTTTTTTTTTAAACAAAAGGTGTGCAATAAATGATCTGACTGTTTGGTCATTTTGTTCACGGACGACTTGTGTCCACAGGTGAACTGGACGTCATACTTTAATCAACTCCTGCCGGCGAAGCTGACCCCGTTGCCAGACACGGAGCGCGTCATCAACTACTCCCCGCCCTACATGAGAAATGCAACAGACTGGCTGAAGAGTCAGACAAAAAGGTCGAAGTTGTTCTGTTTGCCGGTGTATTTGTTTGTTTCTTTGTTGCTTGTTTGAATTAAGTTAAAGGGATGGCTATAAAAATACCTATTGTCGTCGATGCCACCCAGGGTACCAACAATGAAAGGCTCATTGTAGATAGCGTTACGAACTCCGTTTCCAGGTTTTTATAGTTACATGTACAGGGCTGTTGGAAGCGAGAGGGCTGTTGGAAGCGAGAGGGCTGTTGGAAGCGAGAGGGCTGTTGGAAGCGAGAGGGCTGTTGGAAGCGAGAGGGCTGTTGGAAGCGAGAGGGCTGTTGGAAGCGAGAGGGCTGTTGGAAGTGAGAGGGCTGTTGGAAGCGAGAGGGCTGTTGGAAGCGAGAGGGNGAAGCGAGAGGAATGTTGGAAGCGAGAGGGCTGTTGGAAGTGAGAGGGCTGTTGGAAGCGAGAGGGCTGTTGGAAGTGAGAGGGCTGTTGGAAGCGAGAGGGCTGTTGGAAGCGAGAGGGTTGTAACGCTGGTGATGTCGTCTCTTGCAAGCCTTCTTAAGGAAACTTAGGTCGTTTTCCAATACTCAACTTTGGCTCCGTCTCAGGCTTCAACTGTTTTTTTTTACTAGCTGACTTTGAAGCTGTTAGCGCAGTAATCAGCAATCCAATGTAATTTAAACGCTACAGGCCCGCAATCGGGGAAAGGTTTTGGGAACGAAGCCTGAGACGGAGACGAAGTTGAGTATTGGAAAACGGGCTTAAATTGAGTGTGTATGAGCTCCAAGCTGGAGCAAGAGAGGGCGCAATTTTCCTAGCAACGGAGGCTCCTTTGGTAGTAACTGCACATCGTTCGAGTATTCCGCACCAACATGTTTTTTTAACCGATGAGGGGGTGCTACTGCTCAGGGCGGATAACAACATATTCCAGGATCATCAGGATGTTGCTGCGTCTTTGAAACTTGCTAGATAAAAAAAGTCCTAGCTCTTTGAATAGTCACCGCCACCATTGTGTTTCGAAGTTACGATGTATTTATGCAGCAGGTTTATTTTGTAACGGTAGTTTTGAAGGTTTTTTTTCTGATTCCGGTCTTATCTTTTCAATGCTTTTTGCCAACATGAACTTAGTTCCTCACCTTTTGTTGTGTCCACGTTTGTTTAATGTTCAGTAAAGTGGTTTCGCGCCTGTAGCTTCACTTCTCACGAGTTTTCCCCGACGTTAGGCCTATCTATTCTTGCCAAAAAAAAAACAGGGTTGTGGCAAACTACATGGTATGGTGGCTGGTAGCATCCAAGGTCGGCTCCCTGGGCGACAAGTTCCTGGACATTCAGCAGGAGTTCTCCAGCGTGCTGAGCGGCACGTCTGCCCGATCCGCCCGCTGGAAGCGCTGCATTGGAGAGGTGCAAGCCAGCGTCATGGAGCTTGCCATGGGTAGGATGTACGTGGACCAATACTTCCCGGAAGAAGCCCGTCAGAAGGTGGGCTCCTTCGAACGCTCCTGGGGAGAGTGCGTTTGGTTGTCTTACCTGTTTGATTGTAGACTACATTCACCCTCTACAAGTCATTTAATCTGCCTTGTTCTACAGTTATGTAGCATAAGCTGTGTTTTCCCACAGTTTCAGTCGTTGAAATATATTTGGAGTATTGTAAAGGCACACATGCAGCTAAGCTGTACCGGTACAATCGTTATACAGTCCTCACTTCCTGATTTGATCCAAGCAGATTGCCTTGGGTTTAAACGAGCCGTATAATGTTTTTAAAACCAGCCGTGGTTTAAACTGCATGAAGTTAAAGTTTGCCTTAATGAATTAAATTTTTCTAATCTTAAAAACAATTTTATCACCAGAACATGGCATTTGATAAGTTTTGTTGAAGTTCGATTTGGTTGAGTGAATAACTACGACTAGGTTTGAGCACGAGCCATAAAACAGTCGCCTGAGCCTAGAGCAGCCTGCTAAATAAGGTTCAATGAAAATGGATCGAATAAAGTGTGGACTGTTTCCTGTCGCAGACGGCGGAAATGGTTGGCAACCTTAAGACAGCCTTCAAGGCCATGTTGACAACAAACGACTGGCTGGCCGAGGACGATAAGAAGGTCGCGGCAGAAAAGGTTAGAGAATATTTGCGTGCCATACCTGTGCAGGGTTAAAAATACGATTCAGATGCAGCGACATCATCCCCATGGAAGAGCGCCACCACTAGCTTCTCCTTGCCCAACTGTGTGGTCGTTGACGAGGAAATCCGAAATATTGCGAGGTGCAAAATTGTCCGATGGACAGTCACAGGTATAGAGTACTGCATGTTACTACACGCATTCGGTTTTCTATATACATGTATTGGGTATCAGACGAAAGTTGTTCCTCCGCACAATGGATCAGAATTTTCCGAAAAACTGTTGTGTAAGAAGGATACACTAGGAGGTCATCGCCGTCGCCACGTAACAACCCTTGTGATGTGACTTTTTCTCGTTCCCTCCAGGCGGATGCGATGAAGGTCAACGTTGGTTACCCAGAATGGATAAAGGATAACGCCAAACTTGATAAGCACTATGTGACGGTGAGTAGAATGAGCATTGTGTATGCAGCCTTTAGTAGTTTATTGTTCTTATTTATGAGTCAGCCATCTTGAATCGAAAGCGAGGCAATCCTTATAAAATTTTTTAAAGCTTCAGAATGTGGGGACAGATATACAACGGGACAAAATATACATGACCCTCCTTGTGCTCCGGTGGGTTGTTTCACAGTATGGACAAAAGTCTTGGCACCTTTATTGTCCAAATGAAAAGTACTTTCAGGCCAGGCGGTCGGTCCAAGGCTTTCTGTTTATTCGCCGTTGAGGCCGTACATGCGCACGGCCGCAGTTGACTGGAAGACCAGACACTTATTTAGATGCGTCACAAGCACTCCCTTCTCGTCTGATGGCTCCAGCTCTTTAAAACCACGTCAAAATATTCCCGATCTATTGTTGGCCTACATGTTCAAAGTTTTTTGTTTAAATTTCCTCAACGGCTGATATTATACTACATCGGTGTGAAACTTTGAATAATTTGGCATATTGGCCTATACAAGTAGGCCAACATATCTGGCATACACATCTAAACGATGTGTGACTATTTTAGGCGCTTTTCTTTTCTTCCTGTTCAGCTGGAGAACTTTACACAGGATGGGTACTGCGAGAATGGTGTGAAATATACCAGGTGGATATTGCAGAAGAGCTTGGGTTCCCTGCGAGACCCAGTGGACAAGGAAACGTATGTATGCATGTGTTAATGGTGCCTAGTGGGGTAGTAGAACAATAGGAAGTACCCAACAAGGAACATTCATTGTACTTGTGGGGTACTAACACTGTACCCCGCAAGAATTCCACCCAACTGATTATTTGGAATTTACTCGAGAGTAAGGAATTTTCAAAGTGTGCTTCTCCGTTTTATGTGACGGACGTTCGGACGAAATTTCAGCCAAGGAAAGTGATTCAGGACCAAATGGAAGCACTTAGAAAACTGCGCTTCATACTCGTAGGTCTATACTCGGACTACACAAGAACAAAGGAAATCGTTCTCAAAGGCCTTTGAGAAAGACTCTGCTAGGATCGAAACGTCAGGCCCTCCTGCTTTTGTGATTTGTATTTTAGGTCACTTAGCAAGCAGTCTGCAGCAGGTTTGGTATGATGTATGTTCTCCAATGAACGATGGGTTAAAAACAGAGATTTTAAAGTGAATAATTGAACAGTTGTCACATTTTGTTGTGTCAGGTGGGATATGGGGCCTGCAGAGGTCAATGCATACTACAGTCCCAACGAAAACAAAATCGGTGAGTGTGTCGAGATGATTGTCTGTAATGCAGTGCACATGTGCGCGTGCGAAATGGAAAGATTTTAAAACTGAGGCTTCATTCATTCGTTCTTTTCTCAACTTTAAACCGAATATCTTCACTGAGTAATTCGTTTGTGCCAGGGACAGCATTGCGTCCTTTGTGCAAGGCAGCCCGTGTTCAGAGCACGCTTCACCCGGTTAGTAAGTCTGACATCAATTCAGTTCGGGCAACTCGAATGCTCATCCGACGGAAGCTGGCAGTCAGTGGTGCTTGCGCGTGTATGACAAAGTCACTCACCAACCGGACTGGCAACAGAAAAGGTCTTCTATTAAAATGAGCAGTGTTTAGTTACTCAATAATACACCTTTGCCGTTCCAATTTGAAATGTATTTGTTGCATTATCTCCATTATTGACAGTGTTCCCGGCCGGTATCTTACAGCCACCGTTCTACCATAAGGATTTACCTTGGTATGAATCAATATCATTATAATTATGTAAATCATTTAATTCTCGTTACGTCTTTACAGTCTCTAATGGAAAACCGTTTATTTTAGCTCAGTGGGTAGTAGTACTCCGTAGCAGTACTTGGTAAAACGCAATACCATCGCACCTGTGGGTCTGGTTTCTTGATCAAAGCCTCACATTGAATATCTGATGACTATAAAGTCCGCAAAAACTGATTGATACTTAAAATATAGTTGTGTTGTGAATGCAGGTATTCCAATTACGGCGGTATAGGTGTGGTCATCGGCCACGAGATCACGCACGGTTTCGACGACGAAGGTAGACTCTCCTGCATTTTTCCTCTTGTTTATGGCCATGAGGTTTAATTCGTCCCACTCGTTCTTAAATGTTTTTAAAGCATCTCTATATTTTCTGGCCCTTTCTTTTGGAGCTTTAAACAATGAAGCTTGGTAAAAAGTTAATATGCAAAGGGCGCCAAATCATTGAAAAGTTTGTTTTCACAGCTGATATGGTTTCTTCGTCGATTCACTGTCAGGGGTTTCTTTTGTGCTCACATTGCACATCATTAATAAAAATTTCTAGACTTCCTGCCATTGTAATGGGAGATTTTGAGACACATGATGGCGGCAGACAAACCGGTCCCTTTCCGCGGTAGTACGCGTGCTCAGAACTAATAACGCGTACGCCTAGAACTGCACGCGCATGCCCACATCGGACCGTTGTGTCTGCTGCCACCATGCGTCTCAAAGTCTCCCCTTAGGGGCGCACATTAAACTCACAAGTGTACATTAAGATAAATTCGGCCTGAAGAAGTGCAACTAAATGGGAATTTTCCACGTTATTTTTGCGGGAGACAGGAAGGCAGTTTGACAAGGACGGTAACCTGAAGGCGTGGTGGAGCAAGACGTCCATCGACAAGTTCAAGCAGAGAGCGCAGTGCATTGTTGACCAGTACTCCGCATTTGTTATGCCGGAGAACGGCCAACACGTGAGTACAGGAGAGATAAGGACCAGTATTCCAAATGTGCTGGTCTGACACGAACGTCAAATTGTGGTGTTAACACGGTGAAGTAAAGAAGTAAATGAAAGCACTGCTAAATTTGAGAAATATAATGTCACATATACGGTCCTCGGCTGTTTTTTTTCTGGTAAGAACAGCAGTTCTCTTCTTAGAACCTTAAGATTTATAGTTCTGCTGATTGTCCTCTGTTTTTACTAGCTAAAAAATGAAGCATTGAAAGACTGGATATCAGCAGGAGGAACGGGAATTTTTGAAGTCAAATTGACTGTGGAATTCACGAGAATGTAACTTTAAGATCTGATGAAAATCCTACGAAACGCTGGTTTATTGAGTGCGATTCACCTGGACCTACTTTCTTACGCCTGCAGCTGAACGGAATACAAACGCAAGGGGAGAACATCGCCGACAACGGCGGACTGAAGGAGTCGCTGAAGGTATGAATACTATAGGCAACTAACAGAGCAGGACAATATTCTTTGTAACGCCCGCTAATGGTACACGGTAAGTGTCCAAATGGATATGGATACATTTGTGGATACGTTAGCCGGGTCTGTCAAATGGTATGGTCAGTTTCTCTTGAGCACTGTAAGTTTCAGTCCACCGCTCTATATAGTTTTGTAAGCTCTTATAGGCTAATCTGTTTAATTTTCATACACATAGCTTTTTAAAAATTGAATTCAGTTTTTATCGAATATGATTATCAAGTATGATTTTCGATAAATCGGATCTTTTCCAATTCTTTCCCCTTTCCAACGATCTGTTTCAGGCCTACCGTGACAATGTGAAAAGTCAACAGAGACTGCCCGGAATCGACTTGAACGCTGATCAGATGTTCTTCTTGTCGTACGGACAGGTATGACTCCACAAATTCGATTCTCGGCAGACACAATGAAAGGAGAAAGGGTTGGATTATTCAAACTGGAGCGTCACTCTGCAGGAAGATGTTAATTCTAATCCTCACAGAAAGGAGGATTAGTTTGAGAAAACAAGCCGTCGAATGTCGCTTCATGAAAACCCGGCGATTCACAATATGCGCCTCCAAGAGTGCGAAATCTGCCGACCCAATGCGCGTTTGGAAAGGGTCGACAGATTTCACGCACCACTGTGAATCGACCGTATTGTGGCGAACTAAATGACGACTGAAACTCTAGCTAAAAGATGAGAACGTTCAGTCGCAGTTTGACGACACCTTTCCCCGTTTCCTAAATCGGCATGCATAAAAGTCGACACCGAAAATAGGCAGTTTGTTCGACAGTGGGAATACGAAAGACTGAAGTTAATCGGTAACTGTAATGGTTTGTATTGGTTTCAATAGATATACTTACGGTGTTTAGCCGTAAACGATTAAGGACTCATTTTACGAGAGAATTCCAAAATGAATCATTATTTGGATCTGATTGTCGGCAGGTTTGGTGCAGTCTGTACCGTCCACAGGCCGTGGCAAGTCTGATTTTGACCAACCCGCACAGCCCTGGGCGATACAGGTATTTCAAATCTCACGTCTTTTAAAGAACATTATAACACATGACACTTCCCTTCATGATCTGAATGTGGTGGGCAGGAGCTACCAATGAGGTTGGGACATTTCTGAGATCATTTCTTAGGAATGAATGGAAGGAAACGTTTGAAACATTTTTGGCACATTTTTAGTGTTTGATGATTGTCGAAGTGGACGTTTGAGCTTTTGGATATAACACTTCCGATATTACCAAATTTCTGAAAGAGGTTTAGCATCTTTTCCCGCATTAAAATGGAGAACACTGGAGGGTTTCGCTTAAATCCCGGATAAACATTTCACGTGTGGCGAATGATCTACCTCTACAGGTTTATATCTCACGCATTAGGGCATTGTTTAAATGATAAAATTGTGTAATCCAGTGAACAAAATGCCTCTGAAGGATTTTTTTTCCGATTTCAACAGAGTGATTGGTCCAACCCAGAACAGTGAAGCCTTCGCCAGTGCGTTCAACTGCAAGAGCGGAAGTTACATGAACCCGGAGAAGAAATGCGAAATCTGGTAGAAATGACACCGCACGCCCGTCACTGCGGGAAGCTCAGTACTTAAAGTCGTGATCCGATTGGTCATTATTTGGGCTTGTTTTGTTAGCATTTATTATGTTGCTTAAACCATCGTTTCGGGGCGGCAAGTGTTGGATTTCAATTGATTTTTTGGATCGTACCATTCAGATTGATCTTTCGAGCACTGAGTTTCTTTTTTTTGGTATATCCAAGTCATGGGATTTCCGCAATGGGCTTTCTCATTTTTTTTCCCAAATTTTGATTTTAATGTTTCTTTCGCACTACGCAGAGAAACCGAACACTCTAAAAACTACGTTTAGCAATTAAATAAATCTTGCTATTACTTTGTATACATGCTTAGCTGCTAAACATTTGGTGTCCAATTCTTAAACGTCAATCTCCAGCAAAACAATAAACATGTTAAGCATTTAAACATGCTTACGAACTGATAGAGAGATGGTGTTTAGAAAATCTGAGGTAATGGCCTAGGACAGGTTGTGATGGGAAGTTTTTTCTGTTAGACAGAATTTTGGGGGGGGATTATGTATTGTCCAATAAATGCAGTTGTCGACTGCACTTTATTACCGCTCTCCCAGAGAGGTGGGACTACGTTCGACACACAACACGACAACAGGGACAATACACCTTGCCGTGCAAGCATACAACGCTGATGTTTTCATCCGTAATGTGCTTTCGTCGTTGTGTACAATGCATTTTTGATACCGTGTTCCCCTCTGGATTGGCTAAGTTGTGATACTTAATATTAGATATCGCATAATTTTGATGTCATTTCAACGTCACTCAAGTCATACGTGTAAAAAGCGCTAACCGATTGCTTACTATGCCTAATCCACAGTTCTTTCGAACCAGTTGGAACACGTGTCTTTTTGAGGCTGACTTTTAGTACACTAAAGAAAAGAATAAAATTTGTTTATGGAGCCACCTACTTTGTAAATTTGGAAGTAAGTGGTGTCATCTGTTGAAATAACTTGGAGCTGTTGTCTGCTTATTTTGGCCATAAGTACAGGCCCAGTTTTATTGTATTTTTTGCTTCGATGTTAGTCGTTCTTTACGCTGGTCATAGTTGCTTGTAGCCTGGCTAGAATTAGCAAGTTGTAGTACTGAAGCTTGTATTCACTTGTACATCTCCGACAACTCAGTATTAAAGAAAAAATAGGAAATCGCAGCATTTTATATTGATTAAAGATATGCATATTTTCTTGGATCTATCACTTCTATTTTTCAAAGAATGCTGCCTTTGGTATGTTGTAAACAGGTAGTTCAGTATATTTTGTCCAAATTGACTATATAGAATTACACAGGCGTGAATAAAAACATGGAGCAAGTAATGGTTACAAATACCAGTACTAAGCAGGATTGGTGAGATATGTCTGTAGTCTATATATGAAAATATCCATAAAGCTATATTATGGATATAAGGCTATATTGTGGATATAAGGCTATATTATGGATACGAGCACACGTTCGAAAGGCAGGTTGTAGAGGTATTACGTCCAAACTGGTCGGTATTCATCAATTTGTCTGCATTCCTGTCAGATTCTGATGTTTTATGAGCCCCAATCTGGACCAAGAGAGGGCGCAGTGTTCCTGGCAAAAGTTCACGAACGATTATGAAATGCACGCGGTGCGGTCGCATTTGCTACCTGTCCAATTAATATTTATTTGAACTAAAATGCTAGGAGATTGAAGCTTCAAAAGTAACAAAATGTGCTTAGTATGAAAGGCTTATAGGCCTAACTTAAATTCAGTCGATGGAGACTCATGCCCAAAATGACAGCCACACTGGTGGATTCTAGACTAGCCTGATCATTCAATGCACCATCTTCGCCGTCGGTGTTGTCACCGTGGTCTTCCAGAGGATACGCACCTTTGAAGCATCCCATGATGTACGGGAAGTCGGCCGTGGTGTGGTATCAGTACTGGCCGTCCTCGAACCGGCCGTGGCACTCGTCCAGGTCGGCCGAGGTCAGCACCACGCCGTTCTCGTCGATGGGGCCGTAGATGGGGAACCTGTCCTGCGCCACACCGATCAGCGGGGACGGCTGTCCCGGCACGATGTCGAATACACAGAAGGACGGCTGCTTGTGGTAGTGGAAGACACCCCGTTCGGTTGGGTGGTCGTCGCAGTTGTCGGAGACCTCCGTCAAAACGGCATCTTCACCTGTTGAGTTTACATAGTCGATGTGTCTCGACGTTTCTTTGCCATTGGCTTGTCGCTCAAGGGATCAGCATACCCAAAGGCGCTTCTGGCGTAATCAACAGTGCTTAATATCCACTTCCTAGGGCCTACACCCGAAAGCAAAAATGGGACAAGCTCGAAGCACCAAAGCTAAAATGGAACCTCGTGTAATGCTGTCTGGTCGGTAAACAACGCCATGAAATTGGGCCCAGGTGTTTTCGACCTCATTAGTAGAGATGCACCCTGTAGGCCCAGTGTGGGCATTTGCCAGTCGTCAGGTCCTGATTCTCCCTAAATTCTAGGGAGATTTCAGACGAGACCTTTGATTTCAGTGTAAAGTCCACTGATCAGTGGGATGAACAGCTGCCATTAGGATACGGGAGTTCACATTCAACAGCTAACCTACCAACACGGCCGGGAATTACCGAACATCGACGTTACCATTCTAACATGCCGAATATAGCCGATACGACTTTGGAATATGTTGGCTATTTCTGGAAAACTGGAGGAATTCCTCCAGTCTTGGTCACGTGGACATTGGGTGATACCTGACCCTTTTCGTAGAGTAGTCAGAATCATTGGGTCTGGTATCCAGACTATGTGATTGGCAAAAGCGTTGCAAACTCTTGGAGGCGCACTATTGTAAATCGCCCTTATTGATGTGTGAGGGGCTTACCAACATATGTACTTCCTGCGGGAAATGAAACAGTTTTGCGTTAATCAGACAATTTTGCATTTATTTTATCAGTCTGTGATTCAAAGTGTTTTAACTTTCAATTTGATAGCTTTATTTGGCTCACTTTTACAACGGTAAAAGAATAAGACTGACGGAGTACAGAAAACTGCCCAGCGAATAATAGGTTTAGACTTCCAACCGTTGGATAAACGGTTTGTCACACAGACGGCTGCGAAATAATTAGAGACCCGAGCAACCCACCTTTTTACTATTTTATGTTTAATCGATCCGGTATAAGACTCCGCCCTCTGCAAACACACTTTCTTCGCTTTCGTCGGTCTTTTGTTCCTCACTCGGTTTACCTGTATAATTCCGTAGTCGAGCGGAAAACAACACCTTAATTGGGAACGTGACTATTTGATATTTCCATGTCTTGATTTTTATTTGATAATTTTCGTTTTATCTGTTAATTATAAGAATTCACTGTAATTAGTGTCAGTCTATTTCATTTTTGTCTTACTTTATTGTGAATGTTTCCTTTTTAAATTGTGACTATACAACAGGTGTTTTTAATGAACAATTTCAGTTGAATTACAAATGGAACACAGTTATCCGTTTCTGATATGGACAAAAAAACCTGAATTTTATTTTGATTTTATGTGATTTGAATTTCATAATTCCAGGGTAAACAAAATCATGCACAATATCAGGCCACGCCCCCAACCTGAAATACATGTGTCGATACAATGGTTTTTGGTCATAACTGGTTGAATCATATTATTTTTCTGGCAGCATAACCATGGTCCATGGCCTTGACCATTATTATGCTTATAATTTATTGACCTCCTTTGGACAAAATACCCCTGGAACGGAGAAATAGTTTCCGCTCATTGGTGGGTGGCATGGAGGTACCGTAAACCTTTCCACTCTGAAATTGGCACAAATCGAGGAAGCCGTAGTTGTACGCGTACTAGCTCCTCTTTTTTTGAATTCCACAAATTTGACTGGTCGTCTAATATAATATTGCTCACGATGAAGAGGGCAGGGAGCAATCTGGTATCTTGTCCATTTTTAATGCATAGAAACTGAAGCACATAGCGCCTGTATTATCATCACCCTCTCCTTTTCAGAATTTCAAACCTAAACCAAACAAAACCCTGACAAAAAAGACAACAACTAAGCAAAACAAAACGACAGTCAGATATTGTCAGGAGACAATAAGGAAATTGAAGGAATTTTTAGTTTTAGAGGTGGGACGAAAACCTCCGAAAAAAAAATTTTTTTTTTGGAAAACCCACGGTATCTGGTTAGGACTGAAAACCAAATCCGCATCAAACCTGATGGCGATCCGAACCTCTGGTCGCAACGATGAGGGATGAGGAAAGTATATACATACCCCAACCTGACAGACCATTAAATTGAAATGTTCATCATCTGTCATATCCGTAGATCCTTGAGTAAGTCGTAACCTTGACCCAGCCCAATATATAAATCACACCATGGCTGGAACATCATTGGTCGAAGGGCTTCGCGCATAGCAACGCACTTGCCCTTCCGTGAAAAAAAAACCCACAAAATCAGTTTACAAGAAGTCAGGATCACTCGCCAAATGCGATAGGTGCGCTTGCAGTTGTGCGTACAAGCCTACCTAGCACGACGACAACTGTAACTTTCCCCGAGTGAAATGGGATCTACACTGGCCTGGTCGCTGCTTGCAATCGCTGTAATAACTGTGCCGACGGCAAAGTGTGGTAAGTTAGAAATGATTACTATAGGCCCTGTTCAACAGGTAAAGGATTCTATCACTGCGGAGGTTCTTACCAATCGCGCCATTGTTATAGGAAGAGGAAACTTGGGGGTCGAAATGCCAGTTCTCAAATTATTTTTGAAGACAGGGCATAGTTCTCCAAGTTGAAAATCTTTGGTGCTGTAAACCAAGGTTACATATGCAGCCTGGGTATCCATCAACAGCTTGTCTCCATGCCCTTGAATCTCTTGCAATAATTGGTTTTATCGGTAAAGAGTAAACACACATTGTCCGCAGACATTATTGAATTGTATCTTTGCCCTAATGTTTAGGGCACTGTAATTTGCAAGCTGGTATTAGCATGAAAATCCTTTCATTTTTTTGGGGGGGGGGTTGTATCAAAGTTGACGTCGATACCAGTTTCTCCACATTTGAGGGAAAGGCCTTGGGTAATTCCATTTCATTTGCTTTTGAGCTTGTGCAAAACTGCCATAGCGATGGGCGTACCAGTCACACATCTAATCTGTGATCTGTATCTTTTTCAACTTGTTGCTGCAGTTTTCATTCTGTTTTTTCTTCTTTTCATTCGTTTGTTTTGCATCTTTATGACTTATTCTTAGATTTATTTACAGCTGAAGTCGATGTATTTTCCTTTGCATGTATCTTGGCCTCGTCGACAATCTTTTTGTTTTTGTTTTCATATCTTTAGTTTCTTTTAATTTCTATTTTTAAATTATTATTTAATTCAAATGTTATCATTATTCAGTGTGGTAACGTCTTTTAATTTTAATTGTCTTTCGATTTTTATTTCTGTAAATGTGCAGAACTTTTATCCTCCCATTCCTGTGATAGGCATATTTATGTTGCTGGATGTGGGCAATAAATAAACATCCAGGTCTGTAGTTGCCTATTACAGACGCGCAATGTTTCATTATTAAGTCTTGTCACCGGTTCGCGTTTGTTTACATCGATTATGGTCTCAATGCCCCAAGCAAATGCAATCACATCAAACTCACACTTGTCCTGGTATAATCTTTTGTCTTTCCTTAAGGTTTACTTTTGTTCCCTCGAAAATGGCTGCAAACTTAATGTACGACCTACTTCCAGAAAGCACACTGTTTCGAACCATTTTTGGTATAATAATTGTAAGCATTGCCATCCGCTATATTTAGCGTTCACTCATCAAGAGTGGTGTTTCTTGCACGAATTCAGTCTCAGAATCAGGCGAACGTTTCCCAAATCAGGCTTTCTGTTTTTGACATGTGAATTCCCCTATTCGTTTGTGTTGATTCTAATTTTCTGCCTGGTTTACACTGGTCTAGAATATGAATGGCTTGCTTTTGTGGCCTTCAATAATGCACAAATACATGTATATATAATTGTGGTGCTGATTTGATGGGGGAGCGCAGTCCTCATGTCCGGCGCATAATTGACTCGCTAAACCTTCCCTTGGCATGTTAGCATTTTTTCTTTAATAATGAACGTCGGCATTGAAATCGAGAAGTGTCGTCAACACGGCATCGCCAAGAACAGCATTTCGTATTTCTACGTTACCACATCAAACCACGTCAAAACAATGTCTTTTTAATAGCTGCCATGAAATACTATACAAGATGGGCGTGGTGATTTTCTTCCCCGATGGGGAAATTGCCTCAGGATTAAAAGACACGGAGCGTCTCCTTGAAATAGGTATTCGTGTCGTTATTTTCAATCCTTAAGTTGTACTTTTGATGGTATTCCGGGCCTTTTTGACAATGAAACCCGTCATATTCATGTGGGAAGGCCCGATGTAAGCTTATAGCCGGGTGTTTCGTTGCTTTCTTGTTTTCCTAACGTGAAATCACAACATGAGACACATTGTAAGCAATGCACGGCAAAAATGACAACAACAACAATTTCAGAGGTTGTATTAATTAAAAGAATTGTATAGGCATTATAACTGTTCATTACAATTGTCTGATCCTGCCTCCAAAATCATTATAGACTGCAGAGAGAGCGAAAAATGTATAGAAGCAGGGTTTCAACAACCTATGGTGTATTTAGCAGAAAAAGAAAATTAATCTCCTTGGTTATCTATGAAGTCCACCGGTGGACACAGCAATGGCTGTAGGTCTCCGGCGTTTAAAGATAACGAGGCATTTAATTACTTTTTGTTTGAGGGCTGGAGGGGCACTAATTATGGGGGGGGGACTTTCTAGCCGCGGACAGATCTGTCGTTAAGAATTAATAGTGAGACGGTTGTCAGACAATGCTTTGTTTGCTCGTCCTCCAGTACAAACATTCGTCCATCGACCGTGACGTTGCGAGGTCGGGCAACGCCGTTTTGAAGCCCGTAAAATAAAATGTCTGAAATTGATTAATTGAGTCGCCAATTTCGACTGACGGCAATGATGCGCATCCCTGCGTAACAAACGGAACGACTTTTAACATCACGTTCGCCTCTCGTCAAGGTCATCAAAACAATCTAGCAAATAAAAGCAAAGATGTTGGGACCGTGAGTAAGGCTTCTGATTTTTTTCTTCCACAACATCATGTTGAATGAGTCCGAAGACGAAGTCACTTTTGCCCACCCCCCACACCAAAAGCTGGATACGCCACTAAGTGGTAAGCATCATTTCGCTGTTGAATCGACCATGGAGGTAGAATCGACTAGCTCAGGTTCCGACTTGAGTGGGTGTGGATTTGACCAGACTCTTTTGTAGCTTCAGTCTCTCAGAAAGTAAGAATCTTACAGATAAGACTTGCAGCTTTGCATGGTGGAAGTACAAAGAAGATTAGGCTTGCGGTTGCACCATGTGAAAGAAAAATATCTCTGTTATGAGTGTATGGTTCTGAGAAGAACCGATGGTAAACACTCGACGTTCCGAACAGTATGCTCTGTTCGTCTTCATGAGGCTGACCTCCTGAGATATTTTTCTTCCACATGGTGTAACCGCAAGCCTAACCTATTAAGAATCCCACAAGCAATGTTTTTTCAAAACACTTTACACTCCGTTGTGTTCAATTTATCACAATCTACTTGCTCGTTCCAAATGAAGCACAAGCCAATCTGACTATGGAGTTTCTGCCAGGATTAAATTATTGACAGAAGTTACCTCGGCAACAGTTGAAACCTCGTAATCATACATAAGTTATAATAGACGAGATGGTGTTTTCGCTGTTGTCCCCGGCCCCACTCGTAACCATAGTAATATTACACTGCTCAAGGCAGTATGATCAAACAAACAATACCGCCATTGTTAAAAAAAGTCATAACTATCTACAAGCAAAGCTGCATGAATCATTGGTCCGTAAAAGCAAACCTTTCTCGCCACCAATTCTCAAAAGTCTTTTCAATATGCTCTAGATTACCTAACGCGGCCATGTTATGTTTTTCAAGATATTGATTGACAGCAACAATGGCCACAACAAGTGTGTGTTTCAAAATCAGGTCGACATCTCCAATCAACTGAACACCCGGGGCGTATGATACATTTACGAGTGTTTCCCATAAACATGCCCTCAAGGGGTAAGAAACGTACAGGGAGTACCCATGAAACATCCGGCGTCTGTACTGTTGATCGAGTCTTGCATCATGTACAAACTCACTTATTGTGAATGCCAACTAAACCCGATCCGACTACCCATGGCTGTTTCCTGTTTACAGCAAAAATGGTTGTATTTGGAATTTGAATGTAATGTATTACTGTATTATGGGCGCCAAGTTAAAACTGAGGCTTACGTTGATAACGTTTCATCCAGCGCTGAGAATTGGGCGAAATGATAACAGTCTTAAACTACACACATCCCTGTTGCCCGTACTGACTGTTTGAAATAATTATTCCTTTTTCGTCCGTACAGCTCATGAGTGGAATAGTCTACCTGAACATGTGATCCAGTCTACATTTTTGAATATGTTCAAAAGCTCTCTCCTTGAATTTTTGACTCGTTGATTGATTTTTATTTGTTTTTACCTTGCTTCAATGTTAAAAATTGTCTTGTGCTACAATGAGTTTTCTGTAAAATGTATCAGTAATTAACAGTGTACGGTGACCGTACAGTGATTTTTTGGTGTTACAACAGAACCCCGTTTACAAGCTTTGTAAATGTATAATTTTCCTCTATAACATGAATTAACATAAATGTGCATATCAAATTTGGTTGCATATTAAAGCTGGTTTTGCCATTTTTCTCGTGTTTCCTGTTATTGCGAGTAACAAGTAGTGTTTTTTTTTTGAGAAATCATTTTATTTTAAGCCATCTTAATCAATCAACCAATCAATAGCCATCAATATGTTTTTAACCTGTCATCCTGCCAACTGTGACTAAATTTGAAAGAAAAATCGATGCACATATAAGCAAGCTGCCTGCCATTATAGAGTGGTCAAGTAGCTACTGTGATCTTACTGCGTCTGTCAGGTGAGGAAATTATGTCTTAACATTCCAAATAAAAACCAAACGTGTCAGTGTCATCGCCAATGAAACGCGTACGTAGCGTCTCTCTACCGCGCATGCAGCCTCCTTTAACCTCGTCTACGTTGATGACACAAATAAAATTATCGGGAACCAACATCTCCGTAAAAAGAATTGATATAAGATTCTATGTAAATGTAGAATTGTTTTGATACAACGAAAATATCTGTTGAGATACAACAAAAACCTAAGTAGATCTACTGTCCATGTATTAAGTGTAGCCCTTGTGGTGCCGACTGAAATACGAAAACACCGTAAATATACAGCAAATATTTTAAGTGTTTCTACCATGATATGTTATCGTTGTTTGATATTTTTCCCTTTTCTAATGCAAACTTCTCATATTTTTACAGTTTAGGCCTATACTTGAATGATGCATATCTTAAATCCTTTTCCTCGTTTTTACTAACTACTGGTTTTATTGTATTCGGTTTTCGTTTTTCAGTTTTGAATTTAACGCATTTTTATCGTAACTTTTGTTTCACTTCTCTCCACTGTTAAGAGTGACTCCTCGAAGCATTCAATATTGTTGACACTAATCCAAAGCGACTTGGAGTTGGCCAGCAACTAGATCCATAATGATTTGCAAGGACAACATTGACAGTAGCGCGCACGCAGGCGAATATTAATATTGATAGACCTTTTGAGAAAACTGCACTGGAGTGGAGCCAGATCCCGCTTCCACAGATACCGGGTACACAAAGCAGAAACGAGCCAGCCGTAGCCCGAGCTTCATGTACAATTTATGTCCCCTGTTCAGTTAGTTGGCTTTGGTAAATGCACTTTATCATTAAAGCTGAACTTGCCTGCGTGCACCAGAGATTTGTTTTCCCATAGGCCTACATCACAGTTTCACATTTTCAAACCACGGGCAGGCACTCAGTGAGCGACCACAGTTTCAAAAGAAAATGCCACCAAAAGGGCCGATCCGGGCATTTTTTTTGGGGGGGGTCAGGCAAGAGATTTTTTTCATTGTCTCATTTTTGCAGACAAACGATGAAGAAACATTACTTGATTTCTTTTCCCAAACTGAAACACTCCATAGGTTTCTACTGTCCCGAGGCTGGTTGGCTGGAGTGGGGCGGGTCATGCTACATCTTCGGTATACCGTCCGAGGATAGAAGTCGCTACTCCAATGGTTCTGGATACCAGAACGCAGCCAGCGTGTGTAAGGGAATAGGGGGCCATCTGCTGGTGCTGGACAGCTTGGAGGAAGCAGAGTAAGACGATTGGTGGACGGGGGAAGGGAGTGGGCCTTTTGGGATGGAGAAGGGTCATTGCCTCATAAGTAGTCCACTCGCACTATACCTTGAGTTCAGTGTAGAACTTCCTGTATTTCTCTCCTAGTATTCTGCATATTTTTTTTAAATGAAGGTCCCCCCTTTACATAACGGAAATCACTTCAGTGTAAACAGCTGGCCAATACCCAGAAACTGAACTCTGAGGCTGGACCCTTTCTGTTTTCTAGAGCTAAGTCTAGGTCTTCACTACATTGGTAATATGCCGATATGCGCTGGAAATAGACGCAGCCGTAGCTCTGAAAGCCCGTTTCGGACACGGCCCATAAGCTGGTCTGAAAATGTGCCTAGATAGGGCCTTCATTCTTTTCGTGTGGGCTAAACAGAACTGGTTCGCTACATCCTCCTCGGGCAAGTTCAATTAAAATAGAACCCATTTGTCAACTATTGGTAGATTTACAGTGTGTCCAGGACATATTTGGACACAGATTACCAGGGAAAGCTGACAAGTGGTCGATTGATGGCCGTTGCTCGAACTCGTAGGCCCTACCGGTATTTGCCAGTAACGTGCTGTCTCTGTGCAGATTCGCCGTGGGCAGAATCACCGCGAGTGCCGACGCCTTCCTGTGGTGCACTACCAGCGGCGATGGCCAACAGGCAACGTGTGGTGGCGCTGACGAACGCTACTACAACAGCGCAACCGATAACAGTGGCTTTTGGGGTACGTGTACTATCACCATGTTGCAATAGCACATGTTGTATT